CCCCCCCCCCCCCTTTTTACTCGCGTTTGATTGTATATGACCTGGAAAACCAAGAAATGGGCTACCGGAAAAAGATGACAAGAGCGAAGGAATCAATTGAAAAAAAAAATCTTTAAGGTCGCGGAAGGACTTAAAGAGAAACCGAACAGTGGAACCGGCACGGAACAAGAAGATTCTCTATTATGAAAAAAGGGATGAACGGAGATTCCAAACAATAGGATCCCAAAGGTAACGCAGAACGGCTCGACGATTGGAAGTTGAGCAACACGAGATCCCAATTCTATTGCCATGGAGCCCAAAACTCATCTTCAGTAAATGATAACACCCACTTTCCAAATTCCAAGTTTTAAAGCATCTGTGATCAATCTCGTCAAGTAAATCATTCTCCGACCAGAGACCACAAGCCGGTAATCACCACACCAAATACAGTCCGAGAATTAAAAAAAAAAACAACTAACAGATTGGAGAGAAATTCCCAGAAATGTAGCATTTGTTCCTCTGTTATCACTGTACAGAGAAGAGAAAACCCCCCGAAGGAAAACTGATAAGGAAAAACAAGGGCAAAAACAAAAGGAAGATGATTGGGGGAGAGAGAAGAGAACCTACAACCCTCGGGAGAAGGATCAAAGATGATGAAGAATCTCCATGAAAGTTGAATATTTAAGGTTCTTGAGAAGAATGTTGGTTTCTTTGTTTTGTCTTGCTTTGCCCTCTCTCTCTCTCTCTCTCCCCAGATTTCAATTGTTTATATATTTTGCAAACCGCACGAGCTTCCAATGTTATATAACCAGAGAAGCCTAACCATGGTTAGTCAACTGGTTTGTACATGTTGCTGTTCTCGGATTGACCATGGTTACTTTATATCATGAAGTTGTAATATCTTAAACTATGTTTAAAGAAGTTTAATGGTAGGCAAATGATTGTGTAGGGTTTAAAATCGGATAACAAATAAATAAACACAATTTATTAATGTGTAGATAAATCATAAAATATTCGTATTCGTAAAAATAATTATGTATATATATGATGAACGGCCAGTGATTTTACCATAGTCTAATGTAGAAAGAAAAATTGAAAAAAAAAATCATTTTTCCTTTTAATTATTAAATTTTATATTTAATTATAAAATTATTGAACAAAAAAGTAAGTGTTAATTGATTTATTAATTTTCTTTATATATATATATATATATATATATATAGGCATGAAAAATAAAATAAAAATATGAGGACACCAGAATCCTTTTGGTCAAGTTGGCAATGTGATCCCCACCACCTCACCTGCCTCCACCTTTCTTCCTTCTGTTAATTGAATTTTTTTATATTTTCACATTATATTTATTTAACACCACCAACAAAATCAATTTGAAATTCATATGAATTTCGGTAAACTATTTTGATTTTTTAAAAATTTTCTTATTGAAATTATAATTTGTATCGCCAAGCGATGTGATGTTGTAAACCCACGAACGAAATATAGACAACACATGTATTTAAGTATTCGATCGATGATTAAAAAAATGATTCTACAGTACTTACGATCAAGGTTTTACGGTTTACGATAAAATATGTGAATTCATATGCTTGAAATTTATTCGTAAAATATACAGTTTTTTGTTTATTTATTCATAGTCTTCCAAAAAAATATGGATGTAATATTTGACAATCGGGATATATTGAATACGATATTTCGGTAGCTATTGTGTCTGGCGTTATTGTATTTTTGTCCCATATGATACACGATTTTGTTAGGTTTGAACATTATCAAATCTAAATTGGACCCTACTGGCTGATCATTGATAAAGACCCCGTCACCCCTTCTATTCCATTAATGTCTTATAGAGGTTGAGTTGCGAGGTGGAAAATGAAATAAAATCGAACGATTTTTTTTTCCATCGAATTCAATTGGGATTTGAGTTTACCAATTTTATTATGTTGCTATCGAATTTCACTTGCATATCAATCCTTCTTAGGCCAGAAACATTTAAATCATATATAAATGTAGTTAATATAAAAATAAAAATTATCATAAAACTACAAAAAAAATAGGGATATTTTTTTTCTGTTCTATTATTTTTTATTCATTTTAAAAGAAATGGCAAAACTGTCATTTAGTTTTATGGTGTTTTTTGTTTGAAATTTTGGTTTTGATTTGATTTTATTAAGAAATGTCTAAATTTTTTAAAAAGTTTTTTCATTCGTTTTTATTATCGTATTCAATTTTGATTCAGTTTCACTCCACTCATCTCATATTTTTTTCATATTATATACATATATAAACATTTATAACTTTGGAAAGGACAAGGGTATTTAATTTGATTTAATGTTGCGTTAACTAATAATAACATCTTAACCAGACAATTTTCAACAAGTGGTCCAAAAAATCGGGAAGATCTCTCCAAGTAGTGATTGATAATGAAAGGTGAAATATCGTACGGTATGATATGTTATTCTCATTTTTCACGTGGTATAATCCATGAACGAATCCAAGGTATTCTTACCAAATTCAATCATATTTGGGTTCAATTCGAATTTTTTTTTATAAAAAAAATTAAACCTTCAAAGTTCGTTACTAAGTCCATCCCCTCATTTAAATAAAATTAGAGGTGTCAGCAAGCCTAGGATTTTGAGATATTCGATTCTGAATTCGAGTTTACAATTTTTCATATATGTCATCCAATTAGGGAAACCCCCTTTTCAGATATTCGATAGTTCACATGTTCGGATATCCACGAGTTATCCACCGAATCAGGGAACCCCTCTTTCGATTTTTCAATGGAGATTGATTATCCCAAAGAGTGATTTTGTCTGAATGTCAGAAAAGGTGAGATCTTTGACACTTTTCCGAGGAGTTCAGAACTGGGTCTTGTTTGAACAACGAGGTTCTTGAGTTTCTGTTAGGGTTTAAGAGGAGGAAGAGAAGTTGCAGGGAGTAAGGTTAGCGCTTCCTGTCATCTTCCTCCACCTTCTTCCCGATGTCGGACGGTTTGCATGATTCGAATCCATAACTGATCAACCGTTCGATCTTCTTCCAGTTTCCGATAACATTTTTGAACGGAGTTCTTCTGATACAACTCATGAATCGAGAAATCGGTGATTATCATATACATCATATTTGGGTTTTTCCGGTGCATAAGCCCAAGTTGCTATGGCAGCATTCAGTATATGTTTAAGATCCGACAGAGTCGGAACGATGACAGATATTGCGAACAGAATCAGCTGTTTCACCAACCACTCTGTCTTGTCTTGACCCACCTTGTGTTTCGATAACTGCTAAATCTTTACATTTAAAAAAAAATTGCTCGAATAGAACTCGCACACCCTAATTGGCTGCGAGTGCGAAATTTGATTCTCTCTTGATAAAAATCGAAGCTTTATGGAGGGACTAATCTCGCTGCGAAGTCCCGGAAGCAGTATTTCGGTTCGAGTGGATTCGCCATTTATGCATCCATGTCACAGATCTGTAACTAACGTCTCGATCAGACGCTCGGTTTCAGGTGTCTCCATGGAGAATAACAGGCTTAGGGTTTCGTCTCTTTTCCCGATTAGGGCTCAACAGGTACGTAATCGAAGCTCCTTCCTTGGAATCGATCCGGTTCTCTGTCTTATCTCCATGATCCAGAAACAAAGTCGGCATCTTTTCATTTCTTTATAAATGACCGGATTATGCCACATCTATATTGCATGTTTCTCTTTGGTTCACGGATGTTTGGATTTGTTCCTTGATGTGTTGAACCTTGGATTCGTAATGGAATCATATGTGATGTCAAGTGATATCGAGCCTAAACCCTAGTTGAAGCTAATGAATCAGACGAAAATGGGGGAGGTTTCTCTGCATTTTCTCTGAAGAATTCTTCATTTTGGTTGTCGGATTTGAAGGAAGGATTATCTGTTGCTTCCTCTGCAACTGAAGACAGAGACAATGCTTTTAGAATCAAGGAATGGGAAGTAGGGATGTATCAGGATGAACTGGCATCAAGCCAAGGTATCAGTGTAAGAAGACGAAAGCCAACCAAAGCACCCTTAGGATATGTTGGACCCTTTGAGTTGCGATTGCAGAACAAGGTTGATTCTCCTCGAGATGTCTTGGAGGAGATCATATGGTACAAGGACGAAGAAGTTTCACGTGTAAGGCCTTTTGTTCTACGAGGGTTTCTCTCTTTCTGACAAAGTTTCCTCCGAGTTAGTGTGGTGAAAACCGTGATCTTATCGATGATATTGCGTTTCAGATGAAGGAGAAGACACCATTTTTGGTTCTGAATAAAGCTGTCGAGAATGCCCCCCCCCCCAACCAGGGACTTTGTCGGGGCACTTCGGGCGGCTCACACAAGAACTGGGCCTCCCAGGGTTGATCGCTGAAGTCAAGAAAGCTTCTCCGAGTAGAGGAATCCTAAGAGAGAATTTTGATCCAGTCCTGCAATTGTCTTTCTTTTGTTCTTTATCTTCTTGAGTGATAAAAAATATTGCTTCATGTGTGCTTGAATGGTTCTCATGAACACCGAGCAAATGAGAAACTTCACGGAAAATATTGGCCTGAAGTTTCCAAAATTACAGGTCGAGATTGCACAAGCTTATGAACATGGCGGAGCAGCATGTCTCAGCGTTCTGACCGACGAGAAGTATTTCAAGGTACGATATTACGTCTCAGCATTTCTATTGGATGAATTCTCATTGCGGATATCTTGAGGGAATCAGTCTCTAATGCTAGAGAGTTCTGTTCTTGCTTTGGTTTCATCAGGAAGGCTTCAAAAACTTGGAAGCAATAAGGAGTGCTGGTGTAAAGGTAATCTGCATCCTTAGTCACATTCTACCGAAAACCCGATATGTTGGTACTTTGACACATAATTCCGGGCAAGGTGTTAAGTAATATCTATGCATTTGTAGTGCCCGCTTTTATGCAAAGAATTCGCTGTAGACCCATGGCAGATATACTATGCTCGGAGAAAGGTGCTGATGCAGTATTGCTTATCGTCGCCGTGTTGACGGACCTTGAAATAGGTTACTTTCTTAAGCTCTGCAAGACGCTCGGTCTCGCTGCTTTAGTCGAGGTTTGTTTCCTTTTCGGGTTACCTTACTTTCCTGCGGTCAGTTGTTACAAAGAAGAGGGGTGAGAAAATTGGGTACCCAACCTACTAAATACCTGATTTTCAGGTACCCGTCATTCATGGGTACAAGACGGGTTTCTTTATCCGTCCAACGAGTATGGGTATGAGTAATTAAAAACCGGTGGCGGAAACCGTGGATATCCGTGTACATTTGTTAAGAATATATATACCTTTGTCAATTTCTAATATTTACCCTTTTATCTTCATACAGATCTACATTCCCTAAAAATTTTGGATATCCGATCTGTGTCCACCCCTAGTAACTTGTATTATGCTTTTTTTTTTAATAATTTCCGGGTTCAGATATCTGCAGTATTCAAATATTTTGTTGGGTACTTGTAGTCCGGATACACACATTTGGGGTACAAGTAAGAGTACCAAATTGTGATATTTTGTCTTCTGCTTTGAATCCGCAGGTGCACGACAAGAAGGAAATGGGTCGTGTTCTTGGGATCGAGGGGATCGAGCATGTTGGCATCAATAACCGAAATCTCGGTACCTTTTTTTTGCGCAATTCAGTAGCCGAGTAACCTAATAAAAGGACAGGAATCTAACCCTGGTGTATTGTCGGAGAAAGACAGCTAAGTTAGGTGTTTCACCAATCTGTTTTTTTATTTCTGGCTACAGGAACATTTGGAGTTGACTTGACATCAGTAACACGAAGACGCTTCTTGAAGGAGAGCATGGTCGACTCATCCGCAACAAGGACATGATTGTAAGTGCATTACATTCCACGTTCGATTCTTTAACGATCGAAATTATTAGGGGTGTGCATAAATGCTCGGGTGCCCGACCTTTCGCTGATACAGGATGGTTTTTTATTACCCGTCCAACGGATGCGAGTAATTTAAAACTATGGGAATTAGCGGGTATCCGTGTACATAGGACATATATACCTCTGCTAGTTTTCAGTATTTAGATTGTGTCGAGTCGACTCCTAAGAACTTGTATTACGCATTCTTTGTTATAAATCTGTTCTTTCTTAAATAATTTTCGGGTTCGAGTATTCCTGGTTACACGAATATTTTGTCGGATACTCACAATTCAATACCCGAGACCTTGGAATACGAGTACCGACCGGGTATTAAATTGTGATATCCAAAACCATCGGGTATAGGTTCCGATACCTTGAATTTTGCGAATACACGAGCCGTGTCCGCGTTCTATCGGTTATTACTCATGTATGGGGGCAAATCGCTAAGGTGGTTGGAGAATCCGGTCTGTTTACACCGGAAGACATCGCCTTCGTACAAGAAGCCAGTGTTAAGGCGGTAATGCTCCTTCAGATGTATCAATTCGTTTCCTCGATTTTCTCTTAACGACTAACGGGGGGAAAAAAGATCGGATATTGGTGAATCTGGTACGATCTTTGTGCAGGTGCTGGTTGGAGAGTCCATTGTGAAGCAGGACGACCCCAAGAACGGAATATCTGGACTTTGTGCAGGTTCCACATCTACTACTTTAATACATACATGGTTCCTTGTTATCAAAATTCTTGGTCCAAGAATCAACATGGACCTCGGTTATCCACGGATATCTGAATATTGAGAACATTCCATAAGTATCCGAAACTTGAATATCCGATCGATACGAGTACGATGACGAGTTATAAGCACGGGTTTGGAGTCAGATTCCCGACCCGTATCAAGCCTTAAATAGTTCTTAGCACCCGCAAACAAGCACCAACTATTTCCCTGACAGAGTGAACAATAAACAGAAAAGGCTTGGAGAGTTTACAAACAGGAGAAACTTATGGAAACCACTTAGAAAAACAATCCATGGTTTAGATTCAACACAAACCAACATTCAGGTTCTCTCGAACCCATAACCCGAAAACATCCGGAAAAAGAAACGTCGTTTTTTCCTCTAAATACATCAACCCGAAACCCGAGCGGCAACACCACTCGAACAGGATCTAAAACAAGACGCCAGAAGTACGTGTCATGGCTTCTGAGACAAGCTCCAAGTCTTCCAGGTGCAGTAATGGTATTAGGGTTTGGTTCTATAGATGGACGAAAGAAGAAGGCCTTCCCAAGGCAAAGAACTTCCCCCTGGTTATTCCGCACATATACAGCAAAACCATTTTTTCTGCAAATTCAATCCATAAAAGAGTGAACAGGATGCAACCAAGAACAATCTCTATTAAGGATATCAATTTGCAATTACTTTTGAAAGTAGTGAAAGATTATAGTTCTGTAGCTCTGAGTTCTTGGTTGATCTCCCAACAACTACCATCTTTTGGAGTGACAAATAGAAAACATGAACTGCTGAAATTTCAATGTCGATCTTATTACAATATCGGATGTTTTCGCCTTTTGGCATATAATAAAGCAAGCAGGGCCAAAAAAAATGCGGGGACTTACGGGTTGAGGCTTCCCGAGAACTTCCCCGTGGCCATGTTTATAACGAGGATCATCCTTCACGGGGGAGTCAGATTTGTTGCCACCTGCCTTTTTCTCATTTCTAGCTTTGTTGAATATAACGGTGAATCCCTCGGCTGATGCAGGGTCATTCACATCCCATTCCCCGAACTTCGGGAGGGGTCGGTCCTTGTCCTGCAGAAAATTCAATTGCACATAATTATCTCTCAGCAACACAGCAGAGGAATCCAACACATTCTATCTTATTTGACTCTTATATAATAAGGCTTTCAATGCCCAAAACAAATCTAAAGAGAACGGTAAGAACTGACTATGCCCAACACAAATACAAAGAATCTGAAGTATTGGAAACTCGGAAAGTATTGCATGACCGGAGCAATGAGCATGCTTGTGTTCTTCAAACGCTAAAGAGCTCCAAACTGTACTGACACAGAATCGGTTTCCACAAAACGGGATAATAATGAATTAGCTTCGCAAGTTTCAGTGTATTATGTTTTTTGGATTCTGCCAATAACTTACAGAGCTCCTACAATCGTGGTCCTTTCCTGTTCCTTTTTCACTACTCTTAAGATAGCTTGTGAGGGGCAGAATTTAAGGGCTGATTGAAATTCAAGCTCATTCAAGCAAACAAACTGAACAAATTCGTGGAGACTGCAGACACTAAGATCAAAATTTTCACCATTAACTCCCAAAATAAATGAAAGTGAAACCGGGAAGAAGGAGAAGCTCCTCCATCGCCAACAGACAAAACATTTTGAGTTGCAGAGTGGAAACCCACAAATCCATCATGAGCGCAAAAGAAAAGAAAAAAACTCCAAAGGAATCGAAAGCCTGGAAATTTCCATCGCCAGGCAAAACAAGATCAACGGTGAGTGTCAAGACAAATCCGGCTTATATGCCTGAAATGGCCAATCATTCGAAGGAAAAGCATCAACTTCGACAGAAATTAGAAATGAACTAAACAATTCCAGAAAACCCTATAACATAATCAACATTCCGAACCAAAATCAACAGAAATCAGCCAGAATCAGGATAAATTCACCGTAAAAACAACCGAGCCCATACCAAACAACATATCGGTGCCCAAGAAACGCAACGCATAAGAAATGAAATCTATGAAAAGGGCACAGAGATCATACTGCCATGGATGCGGAAGAGAATTCTCACGAGCTGAGCCGATGGGTTTTCGTCGTCTTCGCAAGTTTCGCCTCTCGGCTCGTCCCTTTTCGTCGTGTTCTTCCTTCGGGGTTCATATTGTAAAAGGTGGTCGAGAGAGAGAGAGAGAGAGAGAGAGAGTGGGCCAAATGGGCCAGAAGACGTTTAACAATTTACAATCCTGCCACTCCAACATTATGGCCCACTTAAATTGTCCGAAAGAATCTTATTCATACAAATAACACCACAACAAATTAATTGGTTAGTCAAATATAATCCATCAATAATTAAATTAGGATTATACATGTGAGATTTATTAATCATATAGGTTAAATGATACGATGGATGAATCCGGTAAAAGATAAACCCTAAATAACAATATTTAATATCATTGACAAACGTAATAAAAATTCAATTTTTCAAGTACTAAATCTACATCCATAAAGGGGTGTAAAACGAGATGATTCGGCTCAACTCAGTTCGGATCATTCTGATCTAGGAAATTTTCAGTTCAGTCCAATCCAATCCATTTTTTAGCGAACCAAAAATAGATTAGTCCAGGTCAAATCGTCTGAATTTGAGAGCCAAACGAGTCGGTCCGCGAGCTAAATATATAATTTTTTAAAATATAATTTTAAATTATTTTTAAAATATTTTTAAAATATTTAAAATATAATAAAAAAATTAAAATTTAAAATAAAATAAACTAAATATATAATAAAAATATAATTTGTATATATAAAAATATTAAAATTTTAATAAAATAATTATTTTTTCTAGTCCGCGAACCAGCCCGGCCCGTGACGAGCTGGCGACCTGGCGCCACGAGTCCGGTTCGCGACGGGCTGGCTCGTTAGGCCTATTTTTTATATGGGCTCAAGATACTTGAGTTCGACTCACAAAAATATGGGTTGACTCGTGAGCCAGTTCGCGAACCGGAGCTCATTTTACATCCCTACGTGATAAAACCCATTTTCGTTTGATTAATAAAAAAAGGAGAAAATGATTCATTCAATATATAATAACATCTTTAATGTAAATGAATTCTGTAAAACTCATTTAATCTAACCCAATAACTTAACTGATTTAATAATTAAATAGGTGCTCACCCAACTCATAATTTTGAACAATAATAAAATGGGATGATTATATTAAACTCCACCAACGGGCATCTCCCACACAAACTTAATCCAATTGAATTTGATATCACATCCATTTTAATTAGGTTTTAATTTTTCGATTATAAATTAATTCATCGGCAACAAACTAAATTTTTTTCAATTGACATCTCTAAAACAAATGAACTTCCAATAAAAGTTACTATTACCAACCTAAATTATTCTATATATTTAATTATGAAATGAAAAGCATCTTCCAACATGCAATGTACAGCTGAGTTCGATTACAGACAAATCCCAAACGACCGACACTACCTTCATTCATCATACACGTGATTTAAACGTAATATCCATAGAAAAATCCAATATAAAACCGACAGCCCAAGCAAGTTGGGCTAATTATTATTCCAAATCTCCACACAAAAATAAATAAAAAAACAAATCATTTCCAGAAAAGAATGAAAAAAAAAAATCAAAAATATCGAGCAAGATTCCCACCGAGGCAATATCATACACATGCCACGTGTCGCAAACCCACTTCACTCTTTCATTTATTTTTTCGCAAACCCACTTCCCTCTTTCCTTTATTTTTTTTTTGGTCCTCACATGAAATAAGCAACACCGAGACAGAATCCGACAATCGCCGTCAAGAAACTCCGACCAGCCGTCAACGTCATCATTTCCGGAGCGGCGCCGTTTTTGTCGTCGGCGACTTGGTCTTCGGAATCATCCGCCGGAGCATCGGCGCCCGGGCCGTCGGCCAACTCATCATCCGCCGTCGACTTCTTCTTGTGCTTGCTCGGCTTCGGCGACGGAGCTTCCTTGACAGTGGCCTTGAAAATCTCTCTGGGCATCAAAACCTTATCGATTTTGTACACAATCAACGGCTCCTGGTCCTTCAACGTCCCCGTTACCTGCGCCGTTACAACGTCCGTCTCCAACGTCACGTCCTCGCCGTCGTTCTGCACTGTGAAATCGTACTTGTTGTCTCCCTCCGTCGCCAGAGTGTTAACGGCACCGTTACCAGATCTCAACATCTGCAACGACTGATAAACAGGGATTCCATGGTACAACACTAACGCCGTCTTGTTCGCCGCGGACAAAGACTTGAACTTTGGCATGAACTTGCTGACGGCGCCGTCGGTCGGACAGAACACAGTTAACCCTCCGTCAATCGTGTCCTGGAACGTCTTGTCGGCTCCCGTCGAGGTCATCATGTCCGCAAAGGCTTTGCATCCTTTGTATCATAAGGAATCCACATTTTCCATTAGCAAAGCTCTTGCAAAATACAGATTTCAATATCTACGCAACTGAAAATTTCAATTTTTTTCATCCAATTTTTTCTTGCGATACCTTGCTTATCAAGAATGGAAGTGAGATTGAGATCGCCAGGGCTCGGAGTGGGAGCCTCAGCCTCGGGAGAAGTCAAGACCTGACTGATCTGAAGAACAGAGATATTGTAAGCTTTCTCGAATACAGACTTGATGTAATGAGCAGTGAGCTTGCTGTCGTCATCTTGGACACCGAACGCGACTTTCCCGCCTTTCAAGTCAGTGATGTTGACGTAACCGGAGGTCCCCGTGGCCGAACCTGTGGCCTGAAACATGGTTGACGTCGAGGTTGTCCCGTCGGTGATCTGGTGGAGCTTTTTGGCGCCAAAGTAATCGACGAGGACGTGGAGGGAGAGGATGTTCCGGATTGTGTAGAGTGAGTAGCCTTTGGAGAGGATCGACGACATTCCGGCGTTGTCGACGGCCAATACGGTGATCGTTTGCCGGCGGTTGATATCGTCGGCGAGATGCGTGGCACTGAGGTAATGGTTGAACGTGGAGAAGCTAGGGTCTTTGGCCAAGATTCTGGTGATATTGTGGGCGTTTGAGGAGGAGAGGAGGAGGCAGAAGAGGAGGGAAAAGGCGGAGACGGTGGCTGATAACCGGAAAGGAGCCATTGCGGCGGAGCTGCGGCGGAGGAGGGAGGGTTTGTGTGTTAACGTTGCGGATGGAGTTATAAAGAAGTGTGAGGAGGAGTGGGGTGGTGAAGAAATGGCTGTAACGCATATTGCCAGCTCAGCAGATGGTGAGGTGTATACATGGGACCCACGCTAATGAAAGTAACGTGGATACACAGCTCACACATTCGCTAGACTGACCGACACTCTCCATGGGACGTATCTTCATGATTTTTCTTGGATGGGTCATAAATGGAAAAAGAAAAATCATACACATTCTCTTTAATTAATATATTAATATGTTATAAAAAAAATCCATACAGTAAAAGATATAGCATTCAATTGTTCTTTAGTAAAATCACTTCTTCGGCAAGCTTTTTCGGTATATTTTAGCAAATTTTTATTCTAAATATATTTAACAATTTCTTTTTTATCCAAATTTTTTTTTTATTCTAAATGAGGACAAATATTACATCTTTATCAAACTAACAGAAAAAAAGTTATTCAAGAATTTCGAGTACATAACGTGATTCATTTTTATTATTATCGGTTTTTAAATAGTTATATCTGTGATTGAGAATTCAAAAATATTATCTATAATCGTGTATATATATGATTTATCATCTCAATCATATTTTTTAAATAATGTCATATTATATCATATTTTTAAAATTTTATTGTTAATCTCTTTGCATCTATCTGTTTTAGCCATACCTAATTTCCATCAAGTAATATAAAAATTATTTTAATCCCTCCTACCAAAATTAAAAATTTTATTATACCCACCAGAAATTGAAAATAGTTTTATTTGTCAGATAAACTGAGAATAACATAAAAATAAATATGACATATACACTTAAAAATAATTTAAAAAGAAAAAGAAAAAGAGAAAACTCTGGAGTATGGGCCCCCCAATATTGTCGGTGGTGAATGTGAATAGTAACGGTAACGAAATCCTGTATGGAGCACGGGGAAACAGATTGCCACGTCAGCATACGTCAGGCTCTCTCTCTCCAATCTAAACAAAACCAACTGCAGATTTTTGATCGTTTAATTGGTCTAATTAATGGACCGTTTACATGCAACGTTTACAACATAATGCTTGTTTAATTAGCCTAATTAATTAGTCTATCGTCATTATTGGACTCGTTTTCTAATCTTCTTGTCTTTTTTTTAAAAAATTTTTTTTTTACTTGTTTTGAAAACCTATAAAGTTATTCTCTGTCCTATAAGAAGCTTAGTTATTCTGTCAGGAAAATCACGTTGTAAAATTATTCCATGCTCAGAACCAAATCAATACCCCATTTGTTTTCCTTTCAACTAGATTAACTTTTATCTTAATTATTTTTACTTTTTTTTTTTGGCAAATTGTAACACAAGGAATGTAAGAATAATAAAAATAGATAAAAGCAACCTTAAAAAAAACATTATTAATGAAAAAAACCAAATCCAACAGGTTAAAAAAAAAACCTTTAAAATAAAACATTCTTAATGAAAATTTAATCTGTATCCAAATAATTAAAAAAAAAAAAGGAAAAACGAACATGTTTTGTGTTTTTCCAAAAATAACAATTTCGCAATAACAAATCCAACAGTTGATGCCTAAACTCGACAACTCCCAAGGAATCAACACTGTTTCACCGAATAAATAAAACCCGTATATTATTACTGTTGCATTACACGTAACTCGATTACAGTTTATAATTTAAATAAAGAGAGTTATAGTAGCACTAATCATATACAAAGTAAAGCTCGCTTATAATTAGCACTATCTAAACAGTGGTTACAATTGTACTGTGGCTTGTTTTTTTAATTTTATTTTTATATTACAACAGGGAAATAAAAAAGATAAAATAAAAAGGGGTTCGTGGAGGAAGCTAACCATTAGGCGAGTTAATTAATCCATTTTTTAACGTACTTAAAATCGAGTGATTAATAACGGCATTTAACAATAGTAATTATTATTATCAAAGTTTACCTTGACCTAACCGCACCACCCGCGGAGCCGGGCCCATCTTTCCCGACACTCATCTGATGATTATGATGAAGGCCTCCTCCACCGTACACGTGTCCTTGATTATGATGATGTCCCATCATCACCATCCCTCCGTACATCCCCCCTCCCGTCGTCGCTCCCCCATTGTATCCAACTCCTCCGCCGCCGCCGCCTCCGGAAGTTCCCGTCCCGCCACCGCCTCCGCCTCCGCCTCCGCCGCCTTCTTTGTCGCCTTGTCTTCCGGTGGTCGTCTTCTCTCCTTCGACCTCTCTGTACTTCTGCAGGTAGACCTTCAGTGGCTCCACGTAATCCTCGAACCCTAGCGTCGTCATCGCCCAGAGAAGGTCGTCGCCATTGATCGTCTTCCTCTTCTCTCTCTGACACTTGTCTGAAGCTTCGCCGGTGATGAAGCTGATGAATTCCGACACGCACTCCTGCACCGTCTCCTTCGCGTCCTTCGAGATCTTTGCGTTCGCGGGCAAGGCCTTCTTCATGATCCTGCTCACGTTAGCGATCGGGAGGAACCTGTCCTGCTCACGCGCCGACGAATCCCCGCCGGCGTTGCTACCGTCTCTGTGTCCTCCTCCCGATTCGTTGTCCGAATCCGCCATATCCAATTGATCCCGGCGAGATCGAATCGGCTCTCCGGAGAATCGGTAGGGGTAGAATAGTAAATTCACGGAGTCACGGAGGAGAGGGGAAATCGGCGAGAGATAGAGAGGCGAACAAGATGAAGAGTGTTTTGGGTCGTTGGATCGAGAGGGTAATAATTGCATCGGGAATGACACGTGGATGGTTTCTGGTCGTTTATTTGTCGATAAGATTATGCCACTTGGATTTGGTTTCAACCGTTGGATGGAAAGAAGGACATAGGATATGGACGGTTCAGGATCGACCACGTGATATAACGGAGAATCTTTGAGTCGGCTTGTTCGGCTTAAATAATCAAGCCATCCCTAAATTCTCGTCGTCCGTACCTTATCACGACGATAATTTGAACATAATTCGTTTATTGAAAATAAATTGGAAATTTGATTTTAATTTGCTAACTAAATTATTTAATATTGAGTATAATATAACGACATTTTTCAATTTGTCGGGTATTTTCCACATGTCAAATGATCTAATAAGATGATTAGTAAAATATTTAAGAACAAGTTTAGGACCTTAATTTTGTTGTAAAACCGCACTTTCGTAACAGTCTCAAATCTTCTAGTGGATCAAATGGGCCTCTTTGGACAATGCAAAGAAAAAACAAGATGTCACAAAAAAAAAAAACAGAAGAAGATAAGGTCATATATCTGTCCACATATCCTTATATCCTAAAAATAAATAAATTTTAAAAAATATAATATATACAAGCCAAATGTAAAATAACTGAATGCAAGAGAATATCTTATTGTTCTTGGGGGAAAATGGCAGCTAAAATTAATCTTTCTTGTTCTTGCTTAGATTCCCCAAGATTATCAGCATCCTCTTCTTATTCAGATGTTCTTTCTCTGCCTCAGTTCCGCTGTTCATCGTCCCATTTAGGGTTTCATCGATTCAAGCTCCAAGCAAAATTAGGTGATGGGTTTGTTCCAAAATCAAAATTTTCTAATATCACTGAATCGGAATTTGTTTCTGAATCGTGGGCCAATGTTTATTTTAATCTTTTTTTTTTTCTCACAGGTGGGGGAGATCCAGAATTGAAGCCTAAAGGGAAGAAGAAGTTCATAACGAGAGAGGAGGAACCAGAACAGTGAGCATTCATTATACATTTTACTTCTCGAATTCGTTTCTCCGATTTCACAATCCGATGAACATAATTAATGTGTTGACATGAATTGACGGGCAAGAACAGGTGATTCGGGGTTAAAACTGGATGTTTTAGTTCTATAAACCCTAGCAAATCTTGGTTATTGGCTCTTGCATGTTGCAAGAACGGAATCTTGATTGTGTTTTTGGGTGTTGAACTCGTGTCTTGTCTTCTGGTGTTATCACTGTCTGAATCTTGAACTAACGAGCTCAAGTCAAGACTCAGAAATCACTGAACGAGATCTGCACATTGATCTCTGTACTGAATAAGATCAATGAGTTGACCCAATTGAAGATTAACAAGCAGTAAATATTGATTTGTATGTGTTGGTCCACATATGATTATTGAAGATAATCCAACACATTGTTCACGAGAAAGACGGTATGACGATGGATTTTGCAGGTACTGGCAAACAGCGGGAGAAAGAGAAGGCGAGAATCCGATGAAGACGCCGCTGCCTTACATCATAATCTTCGGAATGTCGACCCCTTTCGTCATCTTAGCCATTGCTTTTGCCAATGGTTGGATCAAAGTTCCGATTCGCTGAACAATTCCGAGGAAGAAGAAAAGGGCTCAGTCTTTTGTTCATTGTTTTCTCATTTCCGTATGAAAGAACGGTTCGGGAATCCGTTCTCAGTGATCTCTCGGGATGTAACGTACTCAAAACCCGACGTAAAAGAGTTATATATACACGTTTTGTTCGAGCCTTGAACATCTTTAAGATCAACATTGTGAATGAATAGGTAGAAAAATGAAGAAACTCTCGCCTCGTCCCCTCAGTTCGGCCGCAGATGTCGACACTCGGATATCCGACTGGCATAGCACGGTCATGATTCGTCAATTTCCCGAAACCCGAAATCCAAAAACATGGATCTAGAGTTAGATGTCACAAAAAATGCCGAATGTCTGATTCATGCAAGTAGAAGAGTTTGACAAAGACTGAAATTTCGTATAGTACTAATCATTCAAATTGTCTTGCATATTATTCAGATTTCAGACACTGTTCTTGTAAAGCTTTGGGAGTGGTCATGGATGGATACTATATGATAATGTGGAATATAATGCGGAAAAAACCATGACCGCACAATAAGATATTTCAGGAAAAAGAAAATCTCATTTTGTCAAGTTCTTTGATTCGTTCCCAAGGCTCGATGACACACTCTGCATGGCTACTCATTTCGGTTCCTCGTTTTCTTCCTTCTCGTCGTCGTCGTCGTCGTCGTCGGGTCTCGCTGCTCCATCTCCATTGCACGAGACCGTTCCACTCTTCGATAGATCTATCATTTTCCCGAGAAAATCCTGGCTTTCTCGGATTCGATTGAGATTCTTCGCCAAGAAGCACTTTCACCTCGATTCCACAAATGGGTCTCCGCCAAATTTCGCGTCTTTGCAGGAATGTGAGTTTCTCGGTTCTTGAAATTCTCAGCCCTTCTCGTGTTCTTGACCGGATCGTTTGTTCGATTAGCTTTTCTGTAACATAGGTGATCAAACCTTTTGTCGTTTTGATTCCGACCACAATCTGTTTGAGAAAATGCCTCCCAGAAACTTAAGGGTCATGAATAACTTGCACATTTTAGGTCATAATCTGTGAGATAGCCGATTTTGGTAATGAGAAGTTACTAAATTTGTCATCACCAGAAGATAACGATGCAAATTTTAGTTGGTAGTTTTTGCTCAGACAAGTTTCGGAGTTCCAACGATTCATGAACAGAGAAGATTCTCGCTTTTCCTTTGCTTTGCTCCACTAGTTTATCCCAAAGGGATCGTTTCTTAGATCGTTACTGTGATGTTTTCTTCTCATGATTCTCTTATCCTTTGGGGTATTCTGAATTCCAAAATGATCCAGCTGGAGACCATCTTACAGAAGAACATGCCGTGTCTCAAGGGAAAGACGGTTTCTTCGAAGAACCGAAAACAGAGTCTACTCTTAGTATTACAGTGGTTGGAGCTTCTGGGGACCTGGCCAAGAAGAAAATCTTCCCTGCTTTGTTTGCTCTCTTTTACGATGATTGGCTTCCTGAGGTTTCGTTGCCTTAAGACACACCAATTCTTGATCTTGCTTCTTGAAAGAGTTATGTTGATGTTTTGTTATGTTTCTCTGAATTGGACAGAACTTCTCTGTTTTCGGATTTGCTCGAACAAAACTCACCGACGAGGAGCTTAGGAACATGATCAGCAAAACATTGACATGCCGTATAGATCAGAGGTATTCAGTCTCCTCCTACGAATATTGTTTGTTCGTTGTAATTGAAATCTCTTCTTCGGTTGTCCTGTAACAAGTGATTCGACAGGGAAAATTGTGAAGACAAGATGGATCAGTTCTTAAGGAGATGTTTTTACCATTCGGGTCAGTATAACTCTGAAGAAGATTTCGCCGAGCTCAACAGAAAGCTTAAAGAGAAAGAGGTAATCCCTTTCGTCATCTCAATGCTTCTGTGAAATGAATGATAATCTCTGCTAACAAGATTTTGTCGCACTGTTTGATGTGATAAATCTGTCTTCGAGTTATGAAGTTTCTTGTTGAATTACCTGGAACTAGAATATATATATGTATGCATCATAAAATTCCTTTCGGTCTTTATTTCCCGTTGTTTGATTCGTTCTTTCAGGATGGGAGACTATCGAACAGGTTGTTCTACCTATCGATACCTCCAAACATATTCGTCGATGTGGTCAGGTGTGCTAGTGTCAAAGCTTCCTCATCAAGTGGCTGGACTCGGGTCATCGTCGAAAAGCCATTTGGCCGTGACTCTGGATCATCTGCAGAGTTAACGCGATGTTTGAAACAGTATCTCACTGAGGATCAAATCTTCAGGTATGTGCTTGCTGGTTATGGTGGAAGAATCTTTTCCATTGATGAGAAGAGATACATTATGTTATCATATCTAGGATTGATCACTACTTGGGTAAGGAGCTCGTGGAGAACCTTTCTGTGCTTCGGTTCTCGAATCTTGTCTTCGAGCCTCTATGGTCGAGGAACTATATACGCAATGTGCAACTGATCTTTTCTGAAGATTTCGGGACAGAAGGGCGTGGCGGGTAAAGTTGTCATAACTTCTTTATCTCAACTAAACAGAAGCAGCAGACATGGAAACACCTTACATGTCCATGTTAATGGCTGCAGTTACTTTGATCAGTACGGAATCATAAGAGACATAATGCAGAATCATCTCTTACAAATACTGGCACTATTTGCAATGGAGACTCCCGTCAGCTTAGATGCAGAGGACATCCGAACCGAAAAGGTAAGTACTTCAAATCATGAAGTTATTACCTTTCTTCCTCGAACTCGGGTTTTGTTCAGATGAATATGCTTTCCCATCAGGTGAAAGTTTTGAGATCGATGAAGCCATTACAGCTCGAAGATGTGATCATTGGCCAATACAAGGGTCACAGCAAAGGTGGTAAATCATACCCGTGTTACACTGATGACCCGACAGTCCCGAAAAACAGTCTTACGCCGACATTTGCAGCCGCAGCTATGTTCATAAACAACGCGAGATGGGACGGGGTCCCGTTCCTTATGAAAGCGGGGAAAGCTCTCCATACCAGACGGTATTGTTCTAAGGTTTTTTAGGAGCTTGATAATGTCACACTATGAATCACGGGTTTCGCAAAAAATACTATACCTTTTCGGGTGTTTTTCAACTGTAAATCCAGGGCAGAGATCAGAGTTCAGTTCAGGCATGTTCCTGGTAACTTGTACAAGAGCATTGTCGGAACGGATTTAGACAAAGCAACTAATGAACTAGTGATCAGAGTTCAACCAGATGAATCCATATACCTGAAGATCAACAACAAAGTTCCGGGCCTCGGGATGAGACTGGATCGAAGTGACCTCAATCTGCTATACCGAGCAAGGTATATATCCTCAAAAACTTATTTAATGCTTCCCCCGTATTAATGTTATTAATTTTCTGTTAGATTTCGGTTGGTGAATTAGTTACTCGGCTATCCGACTTTGAGCTGTTTATAAAGCTGAAATGAACATAGGGAAAAAATCGAAATTTTTTCTTTGTTTCCTCTGTTCTAAAGTTCTCGGTTTCTCTCACTTTCTCATCATCCAAACAGCTTCTCGTTTGGATTTGAAATAGTATCAGTGCGGCATTTTGCTCCAGTTAATCGCTTCCTTTCCCCGAGTCCCTATCGATCTTACCGATCGAATCTCGTGGAAACTTCATTCCTGTTTCCCCCGAACTATGGGCTCTTCCTCATCTTTTCTCGTCTCCAATGACCACACCAAAACCTGCTTCTCGTTCCTGATCGATTTCAATTCCTGGCAAAGCTCGTAAACAGTTTCTGGACTCATACCGAGATGGTGATTTCTTTCGCATGTCTGAATGGTCTTTTGATGGATTGACAGGTACCCGAGAGAAATACCGGATGCATACGAAAGGCTACTTCTGGACGCCATTGAAGGGGAAAGGAGATTGTTCATCAGAAGCGACGAGCTTGATGCTGCCTGGGCGTTATTCACGCCGGCATTGAGGGAACTGGAAGAGAAGAAAATGGTGCCTGAGCTTTACCCGTACGGAAGCAGAGGTCCTGTCGGGGCGCATTATCTCGCTTCCAAGTACAACGTTAGATGGGGTGATGTCGGTGGCGATGAAGACAACTTGTGAAGGAGAATGTTACGGATTTTCGAAGTGGGATTTCGGGTGTTTGACCGTTGACGTCTGATGATGGAGCAAATAAGTCAGGTTTGTGCTTAAGACATAATTAAGACCGTGAAGTGTATTGGTTCCAAGTTGTACGTCCGTACCGTACCCTTGCCGAATCAAACTTCCTTTCGAACCTTCTAGAACGTTCCTGTGACCCGACCCATCCAAATAAATATTCTGTTGGCAAATATCTTTTGGACCGAACCCAAATCCAACATAAGCCATACACCACTGTTAGAATCTTAGGTTGTCTTAAGTTATTGGCTTATAACTTGACCAAGAAAAAAGAGCATGTGTGTGTGTGTATATATATATATATAGTCGGCGGTAATATAAGCTTATCTCTTATCAAAACTTTGGGAGCAAATAAATAAACATAGAATGAATTTTTTCACCCAATATATACTATATACATACAAAACATGCGCACTGCTCCTTACGGTGCACAATAGCATATATGTACACAATATCACCTTTACACCGTATAAGAAATTGAAATAAAATATCATTGCAAAATCCTTTTCTATAATGACTAAAACATCATTTTTAGATATCTTTTACAAAATAAAGCATTCTTTGAATCTGATTCGATTCTATATCTATGTTATGTTAGAAGAATTAAGTATAACGAATATACTAATAAAACTATGGTTTACAAATTGTGGTTTACCTTTTTTACTTGTGGTTAAATTTGTTAGCATCCTAATTATGGTATTTATACCCCTAAAGTGAGTTATATTTCTTGATTTTGCTAATTTTATTGGTGTCTTTTATTTAAGTAATCATGTCTTTTTTTCACCATTGAAGTAATTACGCTATGTAGTGATTTTTGTATGTTTTGGGAGTATGGTATCTTCTAAATTTCTAATTAAAAATTAACTCATTTTAAAACGACAAAGGGAAAAGGCGTCATAAATGAGTATTATCAAAATTGTTTATATAAAAAAATGAAGACTAGTTTAATATTATTTAAATGGGTTTCTCAAAAATGAAATATGCGCACTGCTCATTACGGTGCACAATAGCATATATCATCTTAAGCACTATTAGGTATTGGCAAATGAGCACCGTTTACTTTCACTGGAAAATTTACTTCCAACAAAATTCCCCTTTTTTTATTTATCGATAATTTCCCAAATTTCCGATTGCCGATCGACGGCAAATCTCGAACTATTCTCCGGCGATTCAGTCGGGGGACTTAGAATCCGCTGAGGGTTTGTGGTTTTTTTGCTCGGATTCGACCGGTTTTGGTCCGCTCGGGCTTGAGGAGGAAGAACTTGCAGAGATCTGCTCATGGCCTTGTTTCCATTTCTGGGCAAATCTGAGTGAGATCTCTAGTTGTTTTCTCTTCTTCTTTTTTTTTTCTATCTTAGATTTGTTTTGTTGCTGGTGTATTGATTATGGGTTTCTAGCTTGAGAAATGAGCAAATCTGGCGTAGGGTTTTCATTTCAAATCCACAGAGCAGGTTTCATCGTGGTTCCTTGTGAAAGTGAGTGGCTTAAACTTGACTCAGACGTTTTAGTTTATTGGGAAATTCTCGAAATGGAGAGAAAATTTAGCTAGTTTGACTTCAAAATGAATGACTACTCAAATCTGCTTGGGGATTTTCGTTGCTCAGAATTTCGTGAAAAAGATGCGTTAGGGAACAGGTTTTGTCTGTAATGGAGCTTGGAGAAGTGAGTTTCCTTTCGATCTGAGGGCTCCACCAGGTCTTGACCTCAAGACCCTTGATCCTGAATCTGAGCATGATTTTAGTACCAATGGAGCAAAACCTGTTTAATTTTTGGATAAGTGGGTTTGTCTTTTGCGTTTTTGTTATCTTGTAAATTCATGTTTGGTCTTTCCAGTTAGTCATTGGCTTATGTAACTAAGCTGCAGCACGTAGATGAATAATGCTGTTCTCTTGGACCTTGCAGATAATGATTTTTTGGTGCTTCCAAATGGAAAGTCTCGGGAGTTTTAGCTTCCCTGAATGCTCATAGTTTCTTTTTTTTTTTCCAGAGTTTGATTGTGGATTCATCTGATTCTTCATGGATCCATACAAAGAGGAGGCTTTCCGAGCGAAACAGATCGCCGAGAGGAAATTTGTAGAAAAAGACTTTACTGGTGCAAGGAGTTATGCATTGAAGGCTAGGTCGCTGTTTCCTAACTTGGAGGGTATATCACAAATGGTTGCGACTTTCGAAGTTTATACTGCTTCTCAGAGTAGACGTAATGGAGAAATTGACTATTATGCAATTCTTGGACTGAAACCCACAGCTGGGAAAAGGGAAGTGAAGAAACAATACAAGAAGATGGCCATATTGCTTCATCCAGATAAGAACAAATGTATCGGAGCTGATGGGGCATTCCAACTCGTATCTGAAGCGTGGAACTCCTTGTCTGACGAGTTCAAGAAAAGCACTTTTTATTACAAAAGGAAAAAACATATTGACTCCATGGCCGTTCAGAAGAACAGCTCAGAGTATGTGCCTGGAGTTACCGGATTCGATTATTGCCCACCAGCTTCAGAAAGGCTTGATACTTTCTGGACTGTGTGCACCTCTTGCAAAGTACAGTACGAGTATCTGCGGAAGTATGTGAATAAGAGGCTTTCATGTAAGAACTGTCGGGAAGCCTTTATTGCGGTGGAAACTGGACCTGCTCCTGTTAGTGCCTCGTTTCATTATGCAGCAGCATCTCATACACCAAGTAACGGCTATGGCAGTTATGGTTATGATGGTGTCACATGCATGCCTGCCAGTTCCACATATTTCGTGGGTCACCATCCTGGACCTAGATATGATTATGTTACGAATGGATCCTACGAATGGAATTCGTTCCCTGAAACCTCCCCAAGCAATATGGATTCTAATGGTGTGCCCTCGGTTTCTGCTGGATATGGCTATAAGCTCAGTTATGGAGTTGTCTCTAGAGGAAGAAAAAAGGTCAAAGACAGTTCTAATGGGACCTGTTCGATGAAAAGCATGGCTACTGCTCTGATACATTCAAATCCACCTGATGGGTTTACTGATGCTGCTGCAATTAAGGTCAGCAAACTTGAAAAGAAGAGGAAGTTTGTTTCGGGATTCTCTGGTAACGGACACGATGAAAACAATTCAAAATCTGCTCCAGAGTTAAGAACAACAAATACAGATACGAACATGGATCAAGATTTCAAACTTCCCGGCCAAAGTTATTTTTCAACTAGGCGATGCCCTGCTGCACCGGCCTTAGACACCCGTAAGCTATTGATTAACAAAGCTAGGGCAGATGTTCGGCAGAAACTAGAGATTATGAGATTGGCTTCAGAGACGGCAAGTAAAGAAAACAGGACTCCACTCGGTGAAAATGATGTTCGGTCATCCAAAGTTGGAAATCCTGTTTCCCCGGGTCAACAATTGGTACAGGAAACAAAAGGGCCAGTATCAATAACTGTTCCAGACCCCGACTTCCACGATTTTGATAAAAACAGGTCAGAGGAATGCTTCAAGCCAAGGCAAATATGGGCAATTTATGATGAGGATGACGGTATGCCACGCTTGTACTGTGTGGTTCGGGAGGTACTCTCAGTTCAGCCGTTTAAGATTGACATAGCCTACTTGAGCTCCAAAACCGACGCGGAGTTTGGATCAACGAAATGGGTTCATTACGGATTTACAAAGTCTTGTGGGCATTTCAGAATCCGAAACACTGACATAGTTGAGCAAGTGAACATCTTTTCCCATCTCTTGAAAGGCAAGAAGACAGGGAGAGGTGGTTGTGTAAGAATATTCCCCAAGACCGGAGAGATTTGGGCTGTGTACAGAAACTGGTCACCAGACTGGAACAAGTCAACCCTTGATGAGGTGAGGCACCAATATGAAATGGTTGAGATTCTTGATGATTACTCTGAAGAGTTTGGAGTTCGTGTAATTCCACTGGTTAAGCTAGAGGGTTTCAAGACCGTGTACCGAAGAACCACAAGAGAGGACCGTAAGAGATGGATACCGAGGAAGGAGATGTTACGATTTTCGCATCAAATACCATCCTGGTTTCTCAGACAAGAGACTAGCGGGTTGCCCGGAAACTGTTGGGACTTGGACCCGGCTGCCATCCCCGAGGAGTTGCTTCACACGGGGGCGGGAACCGATTAAACTGCACTTCTTGCGACAGAGATAAGAGATTCAGATTTGAGGCATAGATAAGATTGGTGAAAACCCTGTAAGAGTCGATCCATGTAAAGGGTTCTCTTCTTAACTTCGGACAAGTATTCACCAAAAGATTTCAGGATTCTGTAAGCATAAGCCTCTGTTGTTTCTTTCATTGGAGCTTTTTTACATTACTTATGTTCCTCATAGTGACTTTGCTCTGCTTTTCTCCCTCTCTCTTCAACTCTTTTGTTCCTACTTGTTCTTGTTCTTGTTAACCCTAGTGATTAACAAGTTTTACTGATTTACAAATGTAGCATTACCAAGTTATCATTTCAAGCTTTAACTCCTTTTTAATATTTGCATCAATGTTATTTGGTGGATCATTTTCATCTTTTTTCTATTCTTTTGGTTAAAAAATTTCAAGGTTTCATGAGGTCTTGTGAAATCGCGAATGTTGCTTTGCTAGCAAACTGGGATTATATTTTTTATGGTTCAAAAAAAAAATTATTAATTTGGAATCCGTGAATTCAAAATATCTTTTAATCTTAATTTTAGTGGTTAAAATTTATTCTGCAAACCCTAATAGAGCGTTGGATATCAATCTTGTGTCTTAGCAGCGCAAGCAGAGTGGTTCAGCTACTTGATCGATGTCTCTGAACTCTGAGCCCGTGCCCGGAGAAAATGTCATGAACATAAGTACTGACCACAAAGACACTGATAGGTAGGTAATACATGCACATTCTTGGCCCTTAACATGACAAAAGATCGAGTCTCTCTCTTTTTTTCGAGATCAAGGTATCGACTTTCACCGCAAGATCGAGTCTTTTACAGTTTTTGGGGATCAAGTTACACACTTTCAACACAAGATAGAGTCTTTAACGATTTTTTGGTATCAAGATTTCCCATTCTTCGAGATCAAGATGTCGAATTTCAACACATGTTGAGTGTTTCGAATTAAAGATACCAATGAGAAACACAAGATTTAGCCTTTTGTGATATTTTTTTTTGGAAACAGGTTGTGATTGTTTCTTGCATTGTGATGTTGCGGCCAAGGCGTGAATCTCCACGAAAGCCCGTTTTCCTTTTTGACACTATGGGGGACGGAGATTTCGACAGTTACATTGAGAAATCTTAATCCGAAAGAGAAAGAAGTAAAGATCAAAGTAGATAGGATAGAGAAGATCAAACTAAATGCTAAAAATTCTAATAAAAAGATTTGTATTTTAACCTCATCTTTCGGTTCCTTTGAATCGATTTAGAGTGTTTGATGTATTACTAGGAGAGACGGTAGGTAACTCTAGAAATAACACTGCAGAGAATGAGAAGACTGACAAGGAGATGTTTAGCTTCCATATTTTGGGTGGGTTAGTAAAGAAAAAAAAGTACAGGGGCTAAATAAATAAGACACAAGTTTCTGAGGGTTATATTGGTATTTGCGGGTTGTACTTTTCTACTTTTGACTTTTTATATGCGACAGAATAATGCGAGGACGGAGAATAAAAAATATATATATAAAAAGACGTAGAGGTTGTGGAAAATATAAAAAATGGGGAAACAGAAAAAAAAAGAATAGAGAAAATATGAGGTGGTATTTCCAAAATCTAGAAAGTTATTATGTTCTTTCAATCTTGGTTTATTTTATTTAAATATTGTTACACATTATTCAATTCAATTTGATTTTATCATTAAAATTGCTATGATCCGAAACTATTTTGGATGTCAAAGTCATAATCCAGAGTTCAAATAACATGGAGTCAACATATTGGGTACGCATACTCTTATTTATTTTTACATAGTTTACGTACAGCGCTCCGTTGATATTCGAGTTATAAATGAGATTTCAACCCAAACCGAACAACAATCTACTAGCATTTAACAATAAATTTTAACCATTAAAATTAAAATGAAAATAAAAAGATCTTTTGAATTCACGGATTCCAAATTAATATAATTTTTTCCTTTGAACCATAAAAAAACATAAACCGATATTGCTAGCAAACAGGCAACATTCACCGTTTCAAACGATCTCAGAAAACCTTGAAATTTTTTACAAAAAGAACAAAAATTGGAAAAAGAACCCTCCAAAAGACAGTATAAAAAGGAATTGAATCTTGAAATTGTTCTTGAAGGTTTGGTAATGCTACATTTGTAATCGGTAAAACTTGTTAATCACTAAGATTAACAAGGAACAAGAGAGTTGAAGAGGAAAAAAACAAACGAAAACAGATCAAAGTCACTATGATGGAACATAAACTAATGTAAAGAAGTTCCAATGAAAGAAACAACAAAGAGGCTTATGCTTATACAGTCCTGAAATCTTTTGGTGAACGCCTTCTTTGGTCCAAAGTAAAGAAGAGAACCCTTTACATGGATCGACTCTTACAGGGTTTTCACCAACCTTATCTATGCCTCAAATCTGAATCTCTTATCTCTGTTGCAAGAAGAGCAGTTTAATCCGTTCCCGCCCCTGTGTGAAGCAACTCCTCGGGTATGGCAGCCGGGTCCAAGTCCCAACAGTTTCCGGGCAACCCGCTAGTCTCTTGTCTGAGAAACCAGGATGGTATTTGATGCGAAAACCGTAACATCTCCTTCCTCGGTATCCAGCTCTTACCGTCCTCTCTTGTGGTTCTTCGGTACACGGTCTTGAAACCCTCTAGCTTAACCAGTGGAATTACACGAACTCCAAACTCTTCAGTGTAATCATCAAGAATCTCAACCATTTCATATTGGTGCCTCACCTCATCAAGGGTTGACTTGTTCCAGTCTGGTGACCAGTTTCTGTACACAGCCCATATCTCTCCGGTCTTGGGGAATATTCTTACGCAACCACCTCTCCCTGTCTTCTTGCCTTTCAAGAGATGGGAAAAGATGTTCACTTGCTCAACTATGTCAGTGTTTCGTATTCTGAAGTGCCCACAAGACTTTGTAAATCCGTAATGAACCCATTTTGTTGATCCAAACTCTGCGTCGGTTTTGGAGCTCAAGTAGGCTATGTCAATCTTAAACGGTTGAACTGAGAGTACCTCCCGAACCACACAGTACAAACGTGGCATACCATCATCCTCATCATAAATTGCCCATATTTGCCTTGGCTTGAAGCATTCCTCTGACCTGTTTTTATCAAAATCATGGAAGTCGGGGTCTGGAACATTTATTGATACTGGCCCTTTTGTTTCCCGTACCAATTGCTGACCCGGGGAAACGAGATTTCCAACCTTGGATGACCGAACATCATTTTCACCGAGCGGTGTCCTGTTTTCTTTACTTGCTGTCTCTGAAGCCAATCTCATAATCTCTAGTTTCTGCCGAACATCTGCCCTAGCTTTGTCAATCAATAGCTTACGGGTGTCTAATGCCGGTGCAGCAGGACATCGCCTAGTAGAAAAATAACTTTGACCGGGAAGTTTGAAATCTTGATCCATGTTCGTATCCGTATTTGTTGTTCTTAATTCTGAAGCAGATTTTGAATTGTTCTCATCATGTCCATTACCAGAAAATCCCGAAACAAACTTCCTCTTTTTTTCAAGTTTGCTGACCTTAATTGCAGCAGCATCAGTAAACCCATCAGGTGGATTTGAATGTATCAGAGCAGTAGCCATGCTTTTCATTGAACAGGTCCCATTGTAACTGTCTTTGACCTTTTTTCTTCCTCTAGAGACAACTCCATAACTGAGCTTATAGCCATATCCAGCGGAAACCGAGGGCACACCATTAGAATCCATATTGCTTGGGGAGGTTTCAGGGAACGAATTCCATTCATAGGATCCATTCGTAACATAATCATATCTAGGTCCAGGATGGTGACCCACGAAATATGTGGAACTGGCAGGCATGCATGTGACACCATCATAACCATAACTGCCATAGCCGTTACTTGGTGTATGAGATGCTGCTGCATAATGAAACGAGGCACTAACAGGAGCAGGTCCAGTTTCCACCGCAATAAAGGCTTCCCGACAGTTCTTACATGAAAGCCTCTTATTCACATACTTCCGCAGATACTCGTACTGTACTTTGCAAGAGGTGCACACAGTCCAGAAAGTATCAAGCCTTTCTGAAGCTGGTGGGCAATAATCGAATCCGGTAACTCCAGGCACATACTCTGAGCTGTTCTTCTGAACGGCCATGGAGTCAATATGTTTTTTCCTTTTGTAATAAAAAGTGCTTTTCTTGAACTCGTCAGACAAGGAGTTCCACGCTTCAGATACGAGTTGGAATGCCCCATCAGCTCCGATACATTTGTTCTTATCTGGATGAAGCAATATGGCCATCTTCTTGTATTGTTTCTTCACTTCCCTTTTCCCAGCTGTGGGTTTCAGTCCAAGAATTGCATAATAGTCAATTTCTCCGTTACGTCTACTCTGAGAAGCAGTATAAACTTCGAAAGTCGCAACCATTTGTGATATACCCTCCAAGTTAGGAAACAGCGACCTAGCATTCAATGCATAACTCCTTGCACCAGTAAAGTCTTTTTCTACAAATTTCCTCTCGGCGATCTGTTTCGCTCGGAAAGCCTCCTCTTTGTATGGATCCATGAAGAATCAGATGAATACACAATCAAACTCTGGAAAAAAAAAAGAAATAAGGAGCATTCAGGAAATCTAAAACTCCCGAAACTTTCCATTTGGAAGCACCAAAACACCATTCTCTGCAAGCGTCCAAGAGAACATCATTGTTCTTTAGGACATGAGCCAATAACTAACTGGAAAGATCAAACATGCAGAATTCTGAAACCAGTATTGAACAGATAACAAGAACACAAAGACAAACCCTCTTATCCAAAAACAGTTTCTGCTCCATTGGTACTAAAATCATACTCAAGTTTCAGGATCAAGGGTCTTGAGGTCAAGACCTGGTGGAGCCCGTATATTGAAAAGAAAACCCATTTCTCCAAGCTTCGTTACAGACAAAACTTGTTCCCTATCGCATCTTTTTCACTAAATTCTGAGCAACGAAGCTCCCCAAGCAGATTTGATTAGTCATTTAGTCATTCATTTTGAAGTCAAACTAGCTAAATTTTCTCTCCATTTCGAGAATTTCCAAATAAACTAAAACATCTCAGAGTCAAGTTTAAGCCATTCACTTTCATAACGAACCACGACGAAACCTGCTCTCTGGATTTGAAATGAAAATCTTACGCTAGATTTGCTAATTTCTCAAGCTAGAAACCCATAATCAATACCCCAGCAACAACAACAAATCTAAGATAGAAAAAAAAGAGAAAACAACTAGAGATCTTACTCAGATTTTCTCAGAAATGGTAACAAGGCCATGAACAGATCTCCACAAGTTCTTCCTCCTCAAGCTCCAGCGGATCAAAACCGGTCGAATCCGAGCCAAAAAACACAAACCCTCAGCGGATTCTAAGTTCCCCGACTGAATCGCCGGAGAATAGTACGAGATTTGCCGTCGATCGGCAATCGGAAAATTTTGGAAAATTAACGATAAATAAAAAAAAAGGGGGAATTTTGTTGGAAGTAAATTTGCGTGAAAGTGAACGGTGCTAATACCTAATAGTGTTTAAGATGAAATGTGCTATTGTGCACCGTAATGAGCAGTACGCATATTTATTTTTGAAAAAAAAAATATAAATAATATTAAATTAGTCTTCAATTTTTATAAACAGTTTTAATAATATCATTTATGACGCCTTTTTCCTTTTTCATTTTTAAACGAGTCACTTTTTAATTAGAAATTTCAAAGGATAACCAACTCTCAAAGCATACAAAAATCACTACATACCGCAATTACCTCAATGGTGAAAAAGAAAGACATAATTACTTAAATAACAGTAAAGAAAAAATTAGCAAAATCAAAAAATATAACTCACTTTAGGAGTATAAACATCATAATTAGGATGTTAACAAATTTAACCACACGTTAAAAAGTAAACCGTAATCTGTAGACCATATATTATTTTATTAATATATTCGCTATATTTGATTTTTTTACATAAAATATAGCCGAATCAGATTCACATAATACTTTATTTTGTAAAATATATCCAAAAATGATGTTATAATCATTAGAGACAAAGTATTTTGCAATGACATTTATTTTAATTTTTTTTATATAGTGTAAAGATGAAATGTTTTGTGTGTGTGTATATATATATATATATATATTGGGTGAAAAATTCATTCTATGTTTATTTATTTGCTCCAAATTAAGTTTTGGTAAGAGATATAAAGCTTATATTACCACCGAAACTTAAGACAAACTAAGAAGTAAAAAAAAAAACAAAAACAAATAACAATGATGTATATATTACCAATCACAAAATATGTATTTGGAAGGGTAAGTTCATTCATAGGAAGGTTGGAAAGGGGAAGTGTACGGACGTACACTTTGTGAAACTCTCAAGAGATAGACAGGATAGGAAAGGGAGGAGATCCGTCTCTTTGGACAAAATCTACTCTAAGTTGGTGAAGTTTGCTCTCACTTATATATAATATTATATATAATATATATGTGTATATATATGGTAATATATCAAAAATACATTATTTTTGCTATTTTGACTTCATCATATACATTTATCCAATGATGATTTTGTAATCCATATAATCAGGATTATAGTCTGATCACATGTTGATATCACTGATCGTAACGTTAAATTTGTGGTGATCACACTAATTTGTTATATTTATTCTTTGTATATTTCATTAATTATTTGATAAAATATTATAAATTATGTTATGACCAATGAAATAAATATGTGATTAGATTATATTTTTTATTATATAGGTCAAAATATCACTAGGTGTAAAAGGTTACGTATTGAAATAAAAATAGCAAATAAAGGATACCTAGTATGTACCATAGTTTTGCAAAATGCTAACATGGGTATATTTGTACACATAACAGTGATCTGGCGTTGACACGTGTGCAAAAGTGCCATGTCACCTTTCTCAATGGGATTAAGTCAACGGTTTTTTTAGTTTAGACTAATTTTGAGAGAATAAAATATCTGGAAAAAAATGATTGTGGCTAGGTTTGAAATATTTATGTCCAAAGTATGCTGGTTGATGTTTGGAGGCATCTCTCGTCTCTGTCTCTTTCTGATTCTCCCCGGCGTCTATGTAAGGTTTTAATTCGAAAAATATGGAACAATCGAAGAAAAATTGTATGTAGATGGAACTAAAAACACCAAAGATACATGGTTATTGATTAGGGTGTCAATTTTGGCACCAAAAACCCATCTAAAAAATATTGGATTTTGGATTTGAATTTGTAGAAAAAAAATTTGAGTTTTCTAGATAGGTTCAAATCATCATTTGGATTGATCCCAAAATCCGATTTTATATATTTTTTTAAATAAATGTAAAAAATTATCATTGTATAAGTAAAGTATTAAACGGTCCGACCCGACTTGCTCCAAATCTGAGTCCTATAAGATCGGGTTTCAAGCTTAGCTCTATAAATTTGAATAATTCGGATTGGCCCAAATCCAAACTGAGCCCTTTTTGATTGAGTACGAATTCGGTTTGGATCAGGTCGAGTACGAACCATCTAAAAAATATCGGATTTTGGATTTAAATTTGTAGAAAAAAAATCGGATTTTTGAAGTGGGTTCAAATCGGATTTCAAATTGATTCGAAAATCTGATTTTATTTTTTAAAATAAATGCAAAAAATATTATTATATAAGTAAGTATTAAGCGGTCCGACCCGTCTTGGTCCGAACTCGAGTCCAATAAGATCCGATTTCAAGATTAGTTCTATAAATTCAAATAATTCTGAGTGACCCAAACCCAAATCGAAACCTTCGAATTGAGTTCGAGTTAGGTCTAGATGATGTCGGGTTGGACTGACCCGTTCGATACTCCTAGCGTTGATGAAAAAATAAGTCTTGTAAAGGGTTGATTAGATTAGAACTGTCTACCATGTTGCAAAGAGAGATTGCATTTTTGAACAATACGATCAAAGCTTATATGTGAAATGTTTATATCATTTTAATTTGGAGATTTCGTTGTTTCTCTTTTTCTCCAAATTTAATATAGGGAAGGTTTTGGACATAATTTCAGTGAATGCAGTTCTAATAATGGGTTTGGCCAACATTTTTGGGTAAAGTGAATCTACTTATTTGATCTAAATATTGATAACAAGAGTGATATTTAACTATAATCAAACCGAAATAAAATAGTAAATAATTTAATTTAAATTGAATTCCATACAAAAATTGGTTGGATGCGATGAGATTTAATTAAATTCGAATAGAATATCATATATAAAAAAGTATCGTAAAGAAATGAGAGTTTTTTCAACAACAAAACAAATTCAAACTAAAAAGAATTGAATTTCAAAAAATGATCAAAACCAAATTCTCAATTTCCATCCCCATTGGATTCAGAATTTTCTTAGGTCCCTAAGTTTTTATATGATCAAATCAATTGTGATATATTACTCAAAATAAACATCCGTGTAATTGATTTATAAATGAAATAAAGAAATTAAAAAAAATAGATAGAAAATCCAATCCAAAATATGAAAATGCCATATCTCAAAATCATAGCCGTCCAATGGACAATATCACATCCTCTCTCTATCCATAAGAGAGAAAATAAATAAAAATCTTCTAATGCCACGTGGCACCACCAAAGCCTCTACCTCTCGCCACCAAAAATCAACCCGAAATCTAAGATCAACCCTTTGGACCAATCAGAAGGTGCTGACGTGGCAATACGATAATCTTCGGTGTTTCCCATATAAACCCCCAATGCCGTGCTCCAACACAACTTCACAGCGTTCACTCACTTTGCAGAATCTTAGATTTGTTCTAGCGTTTGCGTTTACAATGGCGGCCACGTCTGCGATTCAGAAAACCGCGTTTGCAGGGCAAACGGCCCTTAACCAGTCCAACGAGTTCCTCCGCAAGGTCGGCGTTTCCAGCGGCGGCCGCGTTACCATGCGCCGTACCGTCAAGAGTGCTCCTCAAAGCATTTGGTAACTTTGCTCTCTCTCTCTATATATATATACACACACGAAACAGTCTCAGTAAATGTGGTTTTGATGGATGGTGATGATGATGAAAAATGCAGGTACGGACCGGACCGCCCAAAGTACTTGGGACCCTTTTCCGAGAACACACCGTCGTACCTAACGGGAGAATATCCCGGAGATTACGGCTGGGACACGGCTGGGCTCTCGGCAGATCCCGAGACCTTCGCCAAGAACCGCGAGCTAGAAGTAATCCACTGCAGATGGGCAATGCTCGGAGCCCTAGGCTGTGTCTTCCCTGAGATCCTCTCCAAGAACGGAGTCAAGTTCGGAGAAGCCGTGTGGTTCAAGGCAGGTTCTCAGATCTTCTCGGAAGGAGGCCTTGATTACCTCGGAAACCCTAACCTAATCCATGCCCAGAGCATTCTAGCCATCTGGGCATGCCAGGTCGTGCTTATGGGCTTCGTCGAAGGCTACCGAGTTGGAGGTGGCCCTCTGGGCGAAGGGCTCGACCCCCTTTACCCGGGAGGAGCCTTCGATCCGCTGAACCTGGCAGAGGACCCCGAGGCTTTCGCTGAATTGAAAGTGAAAGAGATCAAGAACGGCCGGCTTGCCATGTTCTCCATGTTCGGATTCTTTGTTCAGGCCATCGTCACGGGTAAAGGACCCATCGAGAACTTGTATGATCATGTCGCTGATCCTGTCGCCAACAATGCTTGGGCTTATGCTACAAACTTTGTTCCCGGCAAATGAACTGAACCGTCATGATCTCTTAAAGCTTAACTGTATTGTCCCCATGAAGTGTTGTTGACGGTGTTTTATGTTATTGTACTTTGCTATATATATGAGTACTCGCTGTGGAGTTCCTTTCCTCATGCTGTTTGGTGTCAGATCTGAATATATCTTATCGTTTCAGCACCAGTTGCTAAGATAAGGGTTGGCGAAAAACTGAACTGAACTGCATTGAATATACATAACCTGGAAACCTTAAAATAAAATCTCACTAGAAAATGAGTGATCATTTGAGGTAAAAAAACTTACAAATCTTTGTTTTCCCCATATCTGGCTAATCATCAAAAGTCGGGAAGACGGGCATCACCAGAAGTCCTTGCAGGAACATGATCCATCTCTGAAGTGATGGAACCGAGTATTGTCTCTCACGATGATCTCCCGTTTGTATATCCGAGAGAGTAGCTTGGTCACATTGTGGCAATCGTTGCATACCGTAAGATTCTTCACAACCCTTATCGGCTTCCTGGCTTTCGTGTTGATTAGCCCGTAAGCTATAGCTAGTCTCTCGCTGTGTATCTCTAGTTCGGCTTCTTTCTCCTCCTCTCCTTGAACATGCAACAACACTTGTGTTGTGTCTGGGATGTGCCCTGCAGCTTTCAGTCTCTCTCTCATCTCATTCAGCTTCACGTAAATCTCCTCGGTTTGTAAGTGTGATCTGTCTCCTACCACAAATCTGTGAATCACGCCCTCGTGCTCTATCGAGCTCCATCCTGCTTCCTTCTTGATCCCTTTCTTCTTCATCCTCTCTCTTACCTCTGAGACTTTCTCCCACTTTCCCTCGGAAGCATACATATTAGACAGCAGAACGTAAGATCCAGTGGTCTCTGGAGCCATCTCTATCAAGAGACGGGCTGCATATTCACCGATATCTGTCTTCTTATAGATCCTTGCACTGCGTAGTAAGCTCATCAAGATCACTTTGTTTGGTCTCATGGGCATATTTTCAACGATGTCTTTCGCCTCTTCCAAATGCCCGGTTCTGCATAACACATCTACCAAGCAACCATAGTGTTCAACTGTGTGCTCAATCCCGTACTCGTTTCGCATCAAATAGAAGTAAGAACGAGCTTCATTGACATATCCCGTATGACTACAAGCATTCAACACACCAACGAAGGTTATGGCGTTAGGTTCTGTACCTCTCTCTCGCATTTTGTTGAATAGTTCTAGTGCTTTGTTGGCCATCCCGTGCATACCTAGCCCTGCGATTATCGAGTTCCAGTGACCCAATTTCTTTCTACGTATCACTTGAAACACTGATAATGCATTCTCAATGCTCCCACATTTGGAGTACATTTCTATCAGCAATGTTCCGATCACACCACCGGGTTCGATTCCATTCTTGATCATGTAAGAATGAATCCATGTTCCCCAACTGAGAATAGCAGATTCAGACACTGCAGAGATAACACTCACTAAGGTTGCGTCACTGGGCTTGAAGTCATGTTCCAACATTCTGAAGAACATCCGAAAAGCTTCCTTGAACCTGCCATTTATCTCGTATCCTGCAATAATGGAGTTCCATGTGACCAAATCTCTCGAGGGCATACGATTAAACAATCTACGGGCGGACTCGGGATCACCCGATTTCATATAACCATTGATCATTGCGTTCCATGAAACCAAACTCTTGTTCGGCATCTTACTGAAAATCTCTCTAGCGTCCTCAATCTTTCCACTTTTCGAGAACCCATCGAGCAAGGCAGTCCACGAAAACGAGTCTCTTTCAGGCATCTCATCGAACACCTTCAATGCAATTTCCACTTGGCCACTTCGAGCATAACCATCGATCAGAGAGTTCCAAGTAACCAAGTCCTTTTCTGCCATATTATCAAACACCTTGCAAGCACTTTCGATCGAACCACATTTCGAGTACAAGCTCACCAAGCTGCTCTGCACAAACTTATCCAGCGCGAAACCCAGTTTCAGCGCAAACCCATGAATTTGCTTCCCTTCTTCAACCGCGTTCAAGCGTGAGCAACCTTTTATCACGCAAGGGAAGGTGAAATTATCCGGCGGGAACTCACGGACCAGAAGGCAGAACAAAGATATTGCGTCGTGGGAGCGATGGTTTTCGATATAGCATTTGATGATCATGTTCCACAGGACTAGAGACGGGTCAGGGATCCGTTCGAAGACGGAGCGAGCGTAGCGAAGATTGTTGATCTCTGGCGCCGTATAGCGCGAGAGAAGGCGTGAAGAGACGGAAGGGTTGATGAAAGTTCCTGTCTTGAGGGACAAACCATGGAGCTGTCTTGTTTCGTCGAAGGTTTTCGAGGAGGTGAGGAGAGAAAAGCAGTCGTTGTGAAGAAAGTAATGGCGGGAAGACGCCGCCGACGCCGCCGGATTCTGCATTCTGCCGGGGATTTAATGTCTTCGGGAACTGACAAGTGATAACTGTTTCGTGGCGTTTACATCAATCGGCGCCAAAAATCAGTTTTTAATTATTTTAAAAATCAAACGTAGTGGCAAAAAAAGGACAAAATAATATTAAAAAAAAAATTGGCTGTAGAGATTCCAAAACTCTTTGGACGGATTATAAGGCACATCCTGTGGTGCCACTCAGCCCCGAACTGTACACATGCACTAAGGTCAATTATAACCACAAATGTATTCCCAATAATCATATTGAATTTGAAAAAAAAAAAATTTCATTATCTTGAATTTAAGATTAAAAAAAAAGGGTTTATGCATTTAAAATAAACGAACAGTGTACCTTAGTACATTCTGTTCATACAACCTCTCTTTCTCTCTCTCTCTCTCTCTCTCTCTCTCTCTCTCTCTCTCTCTCTCCTGTAACTTTGCCATTACAGTGAAAAGAGGGAGAGTATTCTGTTCAGTTACAACAGAAACAGACGCTTCCAAACGCAACATGAAAGCTACCAGTTTGGGTTCTGAAAAGGGGACAAAAAAACCTTTGTCTGACAATGTTCAGATCTCCAGTTGGCATAAAAGATAGCACTCTTGATTGGATCTGAAGCAATCGAAGATTCCAAATCCATGGTCCAACGGATCCTATGAAGGTTCTGAGACTTGTGAGAATCCCTTAAAGTTGGAAACTTTTGGATTACTCAATCCTCTCTGGTAGCTATAAAAGAGTTCACTTGAAGTTTGTTCTCTGTCACACTTCTCACAAAGATCTGAGACTCTCCCTCTCTCTCTCACTCTCATTGCCTCCTGTGAAGATGTCGGCTCTCTTCATAAAGATAACGCTAGCCCTGTTCATCATATCACTAACAATTCCTCAAGAATCAGGTAACAATGATCACAGCCGTGTGTAAACATGAACACTCTCACCTATGGATCTCTAACTCTAATCCACATATGTTCTTGCCTACCTGGGTGGGTGTATATGTAAACAGAGGCAGAGTTAGAACAGTGGTGTGTGGCCGACGAGCAGACACCAGACGATGAGTTGCAGGCAGCATTAGACTGGGCATGCGGGAAAGGCGGAGCAGACTGCATCAAGATCCAACAAAATCAACCTTGCTTCTTGCCCAACACTGTCAGGGACCATGCCTCTTTTGCCTTCAATAGCTATTACCAAAGGTATAAGCACAAGGGAGGTTCTTGTTACTTCAAAGGAGCTGCAATGATCACAGAACTTGACCCGAGTAAGTTCTCTTCCCGAGACAAACCATCACTTCTTTCAGCCATTGAATCACCAGAATCATTGCAGATCTTGGATATTCATTTAAGGCTGTGTACCTGATTCTAGTATGATCATGTAATGATTGGCAGGTCATGGTTCTTGCAAATATGAGTATACACCCTGATTACATGGAGAAGATGAAGATGAGATGCAATAAGATGAGGAGGAGTGCTTTTGCAAGTGCTAATGCTTTCTTCCGAGATTCGGATCAGTATGAGTGTATCAGAGAAGTTCTTGAATTGGGTTATGAGATTTCAGATCTATTCACTTCACCCTGATACTGTTTTGCTACATTGCACCGATAATAAATACAAATCTTCACTCATCCTTCTGCAGTTGACGAAACACTTTATTTCTACTATGCATCATGACATGAGAGATATGTACCAAGAATCCAACATCCATCCATCCATCTGGTCATTTACACAACTTATCTCATAATTCAAAGTATTATCAATCTCTTAGAATAACTTGACAATTCGAATTTAGGATAAAATGGCAGAGGCACGGAAAGCTGACCATAAGGCATATAGCAGCACAAGTTTGATTTGAAATCCTCAGAAAAGCAAACTTCCCCAGGCAGCGATGAATGCAAAGCCTCCGAATGGTGCCAAGGTAGCATACTTCCTATCCTCACACAAAGCTACCATATAACACCTACATCATTCCATGAAAACAAGATTCAGATATTCATGAATTCAAAAATGAAAAGATGCTCAAAGGGTTTATGGGAAGGAACCGAAGGATGCAGACTGTTTGAACAATATGATTAACATGAAATGCACTCTTGACAAAACAATAGATACACTTTATTAACAAGACCACGGACAAGCTTCTCTAGACTTGGATCAATTGATCAAATTCTCAAACAGCATCACTTTGAATGAATAAAAACATCTTAGACCATCTTATTTGTAATGCTGAAATGACTAAGATATTAGAGTCCATGATGGAAACTTCAAATCATCTCAAAGCACATGAAAACGTCAAATAGCTAAGGTCACAACTCTGAGTTGCTATGATATGGAAACCATGAAACATCCTACAGAGCTCTACCAATACATCAAAAACAAACCATGAACAATGATTTTTTTTCCCTTTTTTTGGAAGAAAAACCATGAACAAAGTCCAAATGGCCAGCAATCTCTAGATCAACGATTGAATGAGAAACAAAATAACCACTTACGTGCCGGAAAATGCTAGAATCCCAGCAGTCAATAAGCCACCAAACTGGGCAACAAAAACCAAAATAACAACAAACAGTCATCAATACGAGGGAGAAAAGGAAGCACAGTTTCAGAAAACGAGAGAATTCATAAAGAAAAAGCTTACGATGTTGGGATATTTGGTGCTAGGAGCGGAAACAAGAGCAGCAGTATGGACCAAATGGTACAGAGAGGCCGTTTGCCACACCTGAAAAGTTGCTTACTTTTTCAGAAAAATCCGTACCAAATCCGATAAGAAACCAAAACCCAGATGGATAAATGTCAAAAGAAATCAAACACAATTAGATAAACGCAAAAGAGATCAAAACATGAAGAGAAAATTCGAAATTTGACCTCTTCCAAAAGTTGCTAACTTTTTCAGAAAAATCCGTACCAAAACCGATAAGCAACCAAAACCCAGATGGATAAATGTCAAAACGCAAAAAGAGATCAGAACATGAAGAGAAATTTCGAAGTTTGACCTCTTTGTAGGAAGGGTTTTGAGGCTTGAAGACATGAGCCCCGTAAGTGCCCAGGCCAAGTGCGGCCATTCCTACAAGGAAGGGGATGATCAAATCAGTCAACTTCCCTATTACAACCAAAGGTACAGAGGCTACACCGATAATCTTACCAGAAACGGCGGCTACTTTGCGCCACATCCGAGGATCCATTGTTCGTTCCTTCCGTCTTTCGTCTTCTCTCAGATTGTACCTTTTTGAGTCTTTGACTCGCATTCTGCCCCCGGGTCATCTCGACCCGGGTTATACCCGGTTTTGCCAATTCCAATGACGTCGGATCCACTGTTTTAAAATTAAAATTATGTGATCAACTAACACCCATTATTAGCTTAGTATTTTGAAAAAATCATTGTCTAAAAAATACTATATTTTCGATTTTTCTCTATTTTGTAGACAAGTTTTCAATGTTTTTTATTATTTTTTATATTTAATTTGGATTCGGTTTAAAAAATTATACCAACACATTTTTTAATACAAGTTTGAATGAATATTTTAGCTTATAACCAATGTAAACCATGGAACATACAAGTGAACACAAGAAGCAGTACAGTTGTAAACATGTTTTGTCTCAATACCATTAATAAGGTTGGATCAAAATCACCATCCCAACCTACCCAAGCACAGACTCTGGTTTATGCTACAAAGCTCCGCCTGTGTTTCCTTCTTATTCGACCCAATGGAGGAGGGGAACTCACAGGCTTTTTAAGTGGTATTACATCGAATCTTAACCTAATCTTTGCTACTGTCTGAACCACATCTGTACAAGCCTATACTCTCATCTCACCTGTACTGCTAACTCTACGTTAATCCAAAGCATTCAAATTCTCATCAGTTACCCGAAACCGGAGGATTCGTCTCTGGACAGGCTCTGTCTTCAGTTCCTGCTCCTGTTTCTTGACGAGAACCGGTTTTGTCTTCTGGGTTTGTTCCTGACTCGGCGAGGCTGCCTCTTTCATCTTCTTTAGTTTGATCCGACCTGTTTTTCTTTTGCTCCTCTGGCTTCACATCCGAGATCGATCCTTGATTTAGACCATTAGTTGTACTACTCTGTTCGGGTTTCGTTCTTGATTCATCGTCAGCTACTTGGTCATCTGCAACGATTTGAACGACCGAGCTTTGCAGATTCTTGTTTCCATCTCCTCCTTTGGAACTCGGTTCTTTGCTACCAGCCTTATCGGCTTCCGAATCCATCGTGTTGGGGGTAACAATCCTCCCGGGAGGCATATCGTGATCATGTTTACCTTCGTACGTCGTTATAAGCAATTTCGCATCTTGAGATGACCTCTCAACGTGTTTCTTGACCGGACATCCAGAGCTCGAACATCTATAGTAGCTCCTGAATACACACGAGACATAACGAGGAAACGGGTTTTAACACATAGTGGGTTCCCAAAAAACACAAACAAAACAACACGATAGATGAGTTCAACGATACCTAGGATACGGGCTTCCTTTCACCGATTTCTGTCCATATTTACGCCACCGGTAGCCATCATTCACGATATCGAACAGAGTTTGAGTGTGTACTACAATACGCGATTCATTTCTTGACCTATCCACCGGACTTTGTTCGGTATTTCCACCATCTTGCTTCCTGATTTCAGTTACGTCGACATTAAAAGATAACATAAAACTCTGTGGGCATCTTCTGATGCATGAACTTAAAGCATCGATCCAGTAACCGTACCTTCGTTTTGAGCCAGGACTAACACTGTTGTGAGACTCACCCTTTATCCTACTTGATTGCAAAATGGCGGTTTTCACTTCATCAACCGATGAGATAACCGACACTTGAAGTCCTTTGTGAGCCGTTGGTTCTGCCCGTTGAGGTGTCTGGACCCGTGATCCACAAGATTTCTCTACAAACAGTATACAACCCATTAGGTATTCTTTATCAAAAGAATCAATCTCAAAATTTTCATATTAACTACAAATATTATTGTCTCAAATCCATTACCTTTATTAACAGCTGCAGAGAGATCTTTAGGCTTGTGTTCGTTTATAGGCAGAATAGCACCGGTGGCTGAATGGTTACCGATAGGCTTTGGATGAACATGCTGGCCAAAGTAAACAGTCCCGACGATTTGTCCCCCCGGCGACTGTTCCAGTTGCTTTTTGGCCGTGCAGTTAGGGTTCGTACACCTGTAGTAACTCCTTATAAATTCATTCCCTTTAACGAGCTTCTGCCCGTATTTACGCCAGTTGTACCCGTCTTCCATAACTTTTTCACGGATAAAAGGGCTGCTCCCTTCTGAAGCAGAGTGCAAGGACAAGGCTGAGCATTCAGGAGCCTTCGGTGGTTTCTCGGAGGAAGCCATATCTCGGGGTTGCAAAGTTTCTGTTATGGGCACTGCTTTTAACTCCTCGGGCTTTGCAGATTCAGGAGCCTCTTCTTGACATTGCTCAGAAGCTTCTTCCATGGTTTTGTCCGAGTCGTAGGTTCCTGTATCAGTGTCTGGTCGGGACTCTATCTTGTCGGTGGAGGAGGCTTCACTTGCTTTGGCCTCCTGAGGAGGACCCAGTTCGGTTTCACAGTCAGGAACTTTGACTTCCGTGCTCATATTGACCGATGAATTTCTACTAGCCAGCCGAAGAACTCAGGCATGCAGTGTCCCGAAGCCTGGTGAAGCATTCAACAAAACCAGTAACAGAGCAATCACACAAACAAAATTCAGAAACTTTTTACAGATATGATCAAGCAATCAACGCACAAGTAAACAATTACAACACACAATTCTACTGATGAACTCCACTAGCAAACAACCAATACCACGAAATCTCCCAACCTTACCAGAAAAAATTACAGCAAAATTCTGCAGAAACCCGAGAATTGAAAGGACCGACCTCTTAAGATAACAAGAGAATGCTTCAGTCCGAGGTGAAGTAATCAGAGCCAAAGAAATGCAACAACTCCATACTTTCCCTGCTTCTATCAATGAACTTTAGATTCAGTGATACTAAAGTAGTGCACACACTCGAGCTCAGAACATTGACTCAAGCTTCTTACATTTGTCACCAACAGGAAGAAAATCACCGATGTCTCTTTGTGCCGAATCACACCGATTCTTTCCATTTCTGTCCGGAACGTATCTCATGAAGCGATGATTGGTTCTAATAGTATTCATATTCTAGCAAAAACTTCCCCATCGAACAATGGAATTTTCCAAGAAACATGATGACATGAGCAACGAACCCATCAGTTACGAAAGCAGAAAACCCTCTTTCTAAGAGCTCAAAAGGGTTTATACCCCCAAATCACCAAAACCCAGATCTGATTCTTGACCAAATTCCAGAATTTGAGAATTTTCTTCCATTTTCTCGGGAATCAAGCAGAGCATGGACTACCCAGAACCCCGATTAGCCCGAGCATTTAACACGCGAATTAAGCCAAATTAACGAGATTTATACGACCGAGACAGGTCGATTACGGAAGTTAAAAAAGTTAAAAAAAAAATAGAAAAAGAAACTTACTTTGCACAAGCATCGATGACCCCAACCAACGAAACAAGCCGCCAATTTCGCAGTCGAAGATTCAGAAACCAAGAGACAACATCACTGAATCTGTTCAACTTCCAGTCGGATCGGGAACCCACAGATCGGGTCGGGTCGGACTCCGAATCCGGACTCTGGTCGAACAAAACTCAGATAATCACAGATTAAACCCAAGACAAAGAGACAGATAGAGAAGAGAAGATGAGCTCAACATCCGTTGGTCGGACTTCGACGACTATGGAGTATGGAGTATGAGAAGAAGAAGAAGAAGAAGAAGAGGAGAGAGGAAGTGAAAGGGGAAGGGGTGAGAGAATTGATTGGCTGTGACGCGGCGCACTGAAGCATCTGTGCTCTCAGGAGATCTCAGCGGTTGACAAATATTCCATTCCCACCAACGTGAACCGACAGATAGTGGGGTTGTGGGACCCACCAAACCCTTTCCACTGTGTTTTTTCAGAAGTATCGTTCTTGTTGGTTTGGGGTAAAAAGTTGGAAATCGTAAAAATAGTGGGGTCGCTTTGTGAATATCAGTTAATTTACTGCTCTCTGTATGAGGAGGGGACAAGCATCGATTCTCCTCTTCTTACAGAACTTGGCTTTCAATTATTTTGTGGAAAAATAATCGGACATAATGCGGTGCGAAAAAGAAGTTATATATAATGCAAAAAAGAAAAGAAAGATGGCAATTTTTATATCGGGAAAAGCCTGTATATAAGATTATTAAAATTTAAATTAAATATAACTTTTATATATATATATATATATATATAAATACATATTTAAAACCTTTTGACGATGTTGAATGACTTTTATATGAAATTTTGAAAACATAAATGAGCTCTTTTAATAAACAAAGATTGCTCTTCCTGCTCTGCAGATCTTACAGAGTTCATCAGTTGCAAACTACTCTCCATAACTCCTGTGTCCGAAAATCTCAGAAGGAAGAGAGAGAGAGAGATTGTGCTCTCTCCTCTTCTTTCAAGAGATGATGAACCTGCAGCTGAACCCTCATTGTGGTTTTCATTAGTTCCTGCATCAAAATGGGAGTCTTTACCTTGTTTCCTCGCACGGTGTTTGCTTTGCTCTGGCAGTTCTGAAACAGCATCTAACATGGGTTTATCGGTTTTCCTTCATCACCATCATATTATCCAGTGATGGGTCTGCCCATTGGATCTACCAAGCTCCTCCTCACGACTGATATCAGGGATCCTTCTCAGATACCCCCCTCCCCTCTCTCTCCAATTCAGCTTCCAAATGTGTTCATGACATCATTATTCCAGCATCATTGCCATTTCAACATCGTATTCGATTAGCATAAACATAGTAAACGCCACAGATCCGTAAGCGACACAGCTGAAGAATCATACCATCCCATCTTTTCCATAGTTTCTGCCAAACCCATTTCACAAGAGCATATCTTATCTGTGAGTGCAATGTGACTTACAACACAATGTCCTGAAGTGGCCCAGGGATCTCTGTTAAAGGGTCCGTCACCAACTCCTGCCTGATTGGAAATCCAACGAAGTAGCGGTCAAATCATCCACAGACAGAACCGACTGAGAATCGAACTTCATCTCCAACAAATCCACATCAGAACAAATACACCAGCACACTCAGTTCTAAACGTTGGCATGATGCTCAAAACCGCCACCTAGAGGCAACCCCCCACATACATAACAAACGTCGATTTCGTAGCGATTTCATCAAAGACATTGAAAGTTTGAAACCCTCTTTCGCCCAGAAAATTTACTCTTTCGGAACAACAAATCTGCATGATGAAATCCACCGAACAAAGAGACGGAATTCAATCGTGGGTTTTGCTGTTCTCGGGAAGGAACACGAGAAAACCACGAAATCGAAACCGAGATCGAGAGAGAGTGGAGGGAAACGACGCCTTCTTTGTTTGTTTCTTTTCTTTTTCTTTTTTAATTTCAGTTCCGAATAAATAAAAAATAAATTAAAGAAAAAGTAGAAAACATATTTGTAAGAAATGGATACGTGGCTGATTCCGAGTCGGCCCAATAATATGGCCCATATCCAAAATAGAATTGAATAAATCTATTTTTTAAAATTAAGTACCTAAATCCAAAATGTATACCTAAGAAGCCTATGCTATTGGCCAGTTAAATCCAAAATATATTTGCAATTAAAAACTATAACAAAAGGATTTTTTACAAGCCAATTTTAGTAAACCATATATATATATATATATATGGTTTCTCTTTTTTTACAACAGATATATTCTATCATATTCATATAAATAGATTTTGTTTATTATTACATTGTATATTCGTAACGACGAGACTTAAGGTGTCACTAGAATTGGATTATTACGATGATATTTTTATTTTAAGAAATTATATCACACAAAATAACTACTATTAACATTTAAAAAAAACGTTTGATAATAAATCGTCAAGTTAAAATATTAAATTTCAGAATATAATTAAAATGTCAATATATAAAATTAAACTGGTTAAAACGTGGATCAACCTAAAAAAATCACAGACACATACATGTATTATGTATATCATTTAAAAATAATAATTTTTAGAATTAATTTAATTTTACAGGAAAAAAATAATGAAACGACGTGGCTCTGACCTGTCTCCTCGTCTTCTCTCGTATTTTTTGGTTGTCGAAGAAAAAGATCGATTTTTTTTTTGTAACATAAAAAATGTAAAAATGGAGAACTGAAAAAAAAAATTAATTGAAAAAAAAAAGTAAAACCGAACTGTGAAAATCAACGTCTTTTTTTCCCCTTCATCTCCTCTTCTCTATAAATTCAACACTCCGACCGCCTCCACTGGTCTCTCTTCTTTCTCTCTCTTCTGATTCAGAAGAAGCGCACGCCTCTCTCTCTCTATATATATATATATATTACCGCGTATATGTATGACCAGGCATACAGAGTCATATACATGTAGGCAGGCGAATGCTTACATATGTTTGTCTGTGTCGATTGGTTTTTGGTAACTGAAAAAACATTTGCAATTTGTTGAAATATATTTTATATAAAACCAGACTGGAAGAAGTGGTGAAAGATACAATTTTTTTTATGAGAGCCATTCATTTCTTTTAGAAACAGCTTTTCCTCTCTTTGGCTCCTTATTTGTGCCTCCCTTTTGTTCGTCGCGAGATTTCGGCATCTGGGTTTTGATCTGATTGGTGGGTTTTTGATCCAACCTCGATTTGATATTCCGATCCGTCTCGTATGATTTGCTTCCGTTTTCTTTCTTCTTCCTGGGTTTCCTCCTCTTCTTCTTGTTCTTGTCTTTTTGTTTTTCGTGATTGGGTAGCTTTCGGATTTGTTTGGTTTGCAGGTTGGATGATTGGTTGAATGATCGACGAAGTGATCTGCTGGGTCTGAATTTTGAATCCGAGGATATAGGAACACGGTTGTGTTTCTGTCTTGTGTTTTTGTAAGAAGGTATTGCCTTTGTAGATTTCGTGTTCATCATAAATCAGCATTTTGGTTCTAGGATTCATCGGATTGGAATCTGCTCTCGCCAAGACAAAAGTTTAAACCAAACCCATGTTCCATTTCATGGATTTTGTTGTAGATTGATCTGGATTGTACCTTTCTGACCCATATTTAGTAGAATTACGGATTGAGATTCAATCTGAGGTCAATTACATAGACAGACGAGACATCAAAACTTCTTCTTTTTAGGATCAGATGTTCTGGTGTTTCATGAATGAGCATTTTGGGCTGTAGGGGGAAATGCAGTCAGATAGTGGCAAGCTATTCATAGGTGGAATATCTTGGGACACCAATGAGGAATGTCTCAAGGAGTATTTCAGTAATTTCGGGGAGGTGGTGGAAGCTGTGATCATGAAGGATCGGAACACAGGTCGTGCTCGTGGTTTCGGTTTCGTGGTCTTTGCTGATCCTGCTGTTGCAGAGAGAGTCATCAAGGAGAAGCACAATATCAATGGAAGGATGGTAAGTGTTCTTCCGTGTTTAATCAAGTTCAATAGGTTTCTAATTATGCATAACACCAACCTAAGACTCTGTCTCCTGTCCTTAGGTTGAGGCCAAGAAGGCTGTCCCTAGAGATGATCAGAACATAATTAACAGAAGTGCGAATAGCAGCAGCCAGGGTTCTCCAGGTCCATGTCCAGGTCGAACAAGGAAGATTTTCGTTGGAGGCTTGGCTTCATCGGTCACAGAGAGTGATTTCAGGAATTACTTTGAGCAGTTCGGGACAATAACTGATGTTGTCGTGATGTACGACCAAAACACTCAACGGCCTCGAGGTTTTGGGTTCATCACTTATGATTCTGAGGAGGCTGTGGACAAAGCCCTTTTGAAGACATTCCATGAACTCAATGGTAAAATGGTCGAAGTCAAGCGTGCGGTTCCCAAAGAGTTATCTCCCAGTCCCAGTCCCAGTCCCGGCCGTAGTCCTCTTGGTGGATATAATTCTGGTATGATGAGTAGGAACAATAGTTTGCTGAATGGGTATAACCCCGGAATTGTTGGAGGTTATGGACTTAGGATGGATGGTAGATTCAGCCCGGTTGCCGGCTCTAGAAGTGGGTTTGCTATGTTTGGCTCTGGTGATGGAATGGGTGTGAACTTTGAGCCGGGTCTTATTGCCTCCGGATATGGAGGAACTGCAAATTTCACTAATAATGCTGGCTATGGTCGCTCGGTAACCCCATATTATGTCGGCAACTCAAATAGGATAGGATCCTCTGTTGGTTATGAGGGAGCTAATGGAGGAAACTCTTCGTTCTTCAGCTCAGTGACCCGAAATCTTTGGGGAAATGGAGGAGGACTGAGTTATAACACAGGAAACAGTAATTCTGGGCCATCCACGGGATTGGGGAATGGTAACAGCAATGGACTCAGCTGGGGCGGATTCTCGGCACTATCGGGTCGAGGTGGAGGGAATGATTTGCCAAACAGCACCATGAACTTCGGGTATGGAGGTGGTGATAACAGTTTTCCATATGCAAGAAACAATGGAACTAATATGGCAAATGGTGGGGGAAGGGGAGGATATGATTCAGCAGCCATTGCCAACTTCTATAGCAGCAGTTCAAACTATGGGGAACCGGATTGGAGATCATCTCTACCCGAAAAAGAAACTTTTCCCGGGTCCTTAACCTACGGTCTGAACGATGCTTCTGCTGAAAGCTCGCCTAGTTATGTCGGTGGTTTTACCGTTAACAAGAGACAGCCTAACGGAGGTAAGCCAAAACGTTTGCTCTAACAATGTACTTTGTAGCAATAACGTGTATAAAATCTCGCATACTCTCTCTCTCTGCAAGCCCTTATCGTTAACGGGCATTCCTTGTTAATGTTTTTCGCGATCAACATATCTAATCCTAGTCTTGGGATCTGACAAGCATCTGGAAAAACTAATCAAGTGTGTTGTTCATTGTCTGAAATCTTGACAGGGATTGCTGCATAAGAACTAGTTTTCGGGTTTTTTGTCATCAAAGAAGGATAGTGTTTACACAGGGGAATGACATCGAAAGACAACGGGGGGATCTGAACTGAATCTGTGCATAAGCAAAGTTGGAAGAGGTAAAATGTTTTGGCATCAAACAGCACTGCAAGTTTCCGTACATGTTTTATAGGGCAGTTTGAGTGAGATGTAAAATCGGATTGCGGGATGAAACAAAACTGTTTTAAGCCCTTAGCTCTGTGGTTTTTGTTCTTCTTCTTCTTCTTCTTTCGGTCGGAAAAATGATTATACGATTATTGATGATTGGCCTTGTTCTTGGTTCTGGTGATGTGTTTTTGTATCTGATGTTTTTTTTTTTCTTTCTCTTTATTTTTTGTTTGGGATTTGTGGTTTGGTTACTGAAGTGTGAAAAAAAAAACAGAAGTTCCTCGGCTCAGGGACCCTCTAATGAATAAAACAGAGCATTTCCAGATTCTGCTTTACATGAGATTTTTGTTATATCCTGTTTCGGTTCTAATTCTATTTGGCTTCTGTTGATGTTTGATTTTCATTGAAAAAAAAAATGTTTATTTTTTATAATTAAATGCTGTGATTTTATAACGTAATTTAACAACTTCAACCCGATTATTAAAAAAAATATGGAATGGATTTTAGAAAATAAAAAAGTTTTAAAAAAATTAATACGTTTTAATAACTATCTGAGATTCCGAATTGAATTGGAACCAAATTTAACCGCGATATAAAATCAAATAATATAAAGTTTTTTTTCATAAAAAAAAAAAAACACCCTCTGAATATCTCTCATTTTTATCAAGACGGAGAAAAAGAAAACAATTTAGACCGTCTTTTCATTTTATTATTGTACATTTATTCAATTTATTTGAATTATTATGGGACCATTTCCACATTTGCTTATGTTGAAATTTGAATCTGACTTAGGGTGTTCGATTTCGCCCTCTTTTATACAAATTCTGTCCTAGCGAGAATCATCACCTATATAATAATATTATATTATATTCAAGAGGAAAATAAAAAAATAAATAAATAAAAGGCTAATATCATATCATATGCTTTTGCTTTGAAGCTAAATGGCCACCTCACACCGCCCACTGGTTACAAAATTCGTCCATACATATATATATATATATGTGTGTGTGTGTGTGTGTCTGTGTGCCACGAATATTTATATCCAACGTGGATATTAATAATTAAGTTAGACAACAAATATCCAACTCGGACTAAAGAAAACGGCGCCGTTTAAGTAGAAGGTGGCTTGACTGCTTCGGCGATGCTTTCGCTCTCGTTGCGTAAGATTTACATCTCCATTGAAGCGGAGGCTGAGAGAAGATAACAATGGAGTTGAGCTTGGAGGGTGAAAGAGTAATTTTGGTTCCATACATGGCGGACCATGTCCCTATGTACCATCAATGGATGCAGGACCCAGCTCTCCTCCAAGCCACGGGCTCCGAGCCGCTCACTCTCGAGCAGGAGTACGAGATGCAAGTCTCGTGGACCCAAGATCCCAACAGTATCGGAAACCCTAATTTTTTCATCTCTTTTGTCTTCTTTCATTGTTTTCTGAATCGGGTCGTTGTCATCTGGTTCGATCTCCAGCTGGGTTTGATCAATTCTGTCGTTTTACTGACTTAGGTTTAAGGTTTAGGAATTATCTCAAAATCTCAATGTTGGTCTCTGACAGTATTTGTCCCGTCTGGGTTTCGTCAATTAGATCATTATTTAGGTTTCGTATCCCTCTAAAAGCTTTGAACTTTTACTGAATGATCGTCTATGTTCACCTGGGCCATTTTGATTTCCATTGAACTGCGACGGATTTGAGCAATTTAATTTTAATTTCCAAGTTTCCAGTTGCATTCGTATTTGATTCTTTGGTGAAATGTGAATGGGTTGTGAAGGGTTTTGATGTTGATTTGTTTTTGTTACAGAGCGGACTTTCATTGTGTTGGATAAAGATTTTGTAAAGGGAGAATTCTCTCATGGCGATCCCGGCCTCGAAGGTTCGTTCCCGAGTTAATTGAACTGAAATTTGATTTCAATCTGTATAAACTGTTTGGAAACGTAAACACATTGACAAGATCTCCCCTTTGTGATTGTTTTACCTTCTCGATCTGGTCTATAGCAATGGTGGCTTTGTATTAGATGATCTGTTGGCTTTTGTGCAGCCATGGCAGGAGATGTGAACATTTACATGAATGATGTGGATGATTCCAAGCTTGCAGAGATTGAGATAATGATCGCTGATCCCAAAAGGTAACTGCTTTTTTCCCCGAATCTTTGCCTTTAGTTTCTTGAATTTGCTTGGATTTTTCTTCTTTCCCCCTTATTTGATCATCTCACTTCGACTAGATTTATGAAACTGTATTCACATTAGCCATTTGCTGTTTTCAAATCTTGTCTAGAATAGTCGTGGTAAGGGAATAGGAAAGGAGTCTGTCCTGATAATGATGGCTTATGCCGTCAAGAAATTAGAGATTCACACATTCCGTGCGAAAATTGGAGAATCAAACTCAGCGTCTCTCAGCTTATTCCGCAAACTGGTAATGGTCTGATAAGTCTTTCCGCAAGGTTCTATCATGGTCACTGACCATTCTTCTTGATTCTTGATTCTCCACCTCACTGTTCATCACTCGGGTTTTTTCTCAAACAAAATGTGACTCCTTTTTGCAGGGTTTCGAGGAGGCATCTTACAGCGAAATCTTCAAAGAGGTCAGTTGTTAATCAAGGGTGGGTGCGGGTCAGTTACTCGAATGTTTTGGTTCTAACGAGATATTACCTGATCTCGGATTCATTTTGGTCGCATACCTGAAAGTCGGGTATTCGAGACAGTTTTCGCGTATCCATGGGTATTCGAGCCAGAGTTTAAATACAAAATCTCGAATTTTTCCAATATAGTTATCATATATTAGGAGTTGACCGGGATTGGGTGTCCGAAATTTTCGGGTTGCCAAACCCAAACCCGTGATTCTGAGATATTTTAGTAGGTATGTATGTTATATCACTAAGTAAAAATATCATGTTACGGTTCATGTGGGTGCCAGATAATACACGATCTTGAATCTAATTGCTCAAAATCCAAACCAGATTTCGGGTTTTCCTCACGCTATAATCCTACCTCACCTCATATAGCGTTTGGGCGGCCGAATTTCGGGTTTTTTTTTTTTTAACTTAGCCCTAGTCTTTATTGGTTTTTCATTGCCTAGTGTACTATGTACTGCCCATTCTATATATCCTGAAGATAAGAGTCCGGCCTCTTCCTCGATTAAGTTTCTCGAAAATCTTCAAATCCTGCAGGTTACTCTTGAACTTCCGGTGACAAAAACCCGTCGAGAAGAGCTCTTGGAGTTGATCGGGAAGGCGATCACACACACAAGCACACCGGAAAACCCGTCATCCGATTCGCCATTGCTATCAGAAACTCTTGCATAAGCCCTGGTTTGATCAGAGGAGATGATCGTTGAATCTGAATCTGGAAGTGCTTCAAAGTCTTTGATGGGAATCTGTCAAAACCTTGTTTTGGTTTGGTGTGTGAAGATATTTGTTAGGTGAAGAAAAATTTTGTATTTCCCTTTGGTTTGGTACTTTGTGAAAAGAAAAGGGTCGGTCAAAGTTTGATTCTTTTGTCTAATATATAACCACTGAAAGAGACATAGTGGTAACAGTAGTTAACATTATTCAAGGCATCTGTCTTATTGCGCAAGGCATTAGTAAATTTAATCATGTGATTAGTGCAGACTAATTGTAATGCCATTTGGTAAGATTCCACGTTTTTCATTAAAAGATTAGCAGCGGCTAAAATTGAATGTCGCTTAATGGGGGTTGAGTGTGAACTCGGGCTGCAAAATTCTCATTGGATTTTTAGTTTTTTTTTTTTTTGTAGAAAACTATTTAAAAAAAGGAAAAAAAAGACACACGCAAAGGGGACCCACCACCTTCTAGAAGGAAATGCTCTGGTCTGAAGCCGTGGCGTGTGGCGTGTGGCGTGTGGCGTGTGGCGTGTGGCGTGTGGCGTGTGGCGTGTCCAAACGTCGACGTTATTCGCATCTCAAGTGAAAAAGAGCTGTTTCTTTGCTTTTACATAATATCTATAATGTCAATTAATGTGTATGTGTGTATACATATATGGTTATGTAACTTTTGTTTTATATCAACACGATGAGTTGATTATGTTACTGAGCTTGTTAATTAACTTCGACGATTATAACTCGATTGAAAATCCTATTTTTTTTAACATAAAAATGAGCATCTAATTCTATTTTTCAAAGAAAAACTTAAAAAGATAGATATTTTATAGATTAATTAAATTAAATAAAAAAAAATACTGAAACTGAATGTAATCCAATCTGTAGTTGAAAATCTGACAATCATAAACTCGAGTGACCCATAGAACGTTTTTTTAACTTTTTTATTTAGCGTTGAAAAAATCCCACCCAAATTAAGAAATTATTTCAGGTGATAAATTAATTGAATAATTTTTTTTCCTTTTTATGTGTTCTATGTATTTTTTTTTCCCCTACCAAGTGGAAGACTTTGTAAATTATTCCCCAAGTTATAACCATGTGAACGCGTGATTCTTTGGCACACATTTGACTATCATTTCCTTTTCAATTAATTCGGAAATTTCAATTACATTAATATCAATAACGAAAATCTCCTATATTATGATTAAAAAGAAAAAAAAACAAATTATGTATGATGCGGTGATGGTTGTACGTGTAACTAATCATATGTAATAACACTGTAAATAGGGTTTCAAATTTACAATTTATACCCGTAACAGTAGTGAATTTCTTTACAGATCTCTTCGTTCATACTTTTTTTTTAATGGAAGATTTGGATTTTGATGATAAAATGAGAACTTTGGAATATAATTTACCACTTGATATTACATTAATTAACATAGTTTGAAGTATAATTATAATGATTGGAAAATCCCATGTGAATTGGTTAAGTACTAGATCTGATTTATATTCTATGTATAGTTTGTCGGTTATTACAGGGAGCGGGGCTACCCAGTACACAGGTTGTGGCCGCATGTTCCGATGTCATAAAATTATATAATAATGCTTTAGTCTCTGCCAATAGCTATCATACATTCGTAATAAATACATAAAAAAAACTCGATTATTTAAAAAAAAAAAGGATATAATTTTACATTTTAAATCCATTATCATGTAAAGTTTGTGTTTGGCACGCAAGCAAATATTATAAGATGCCACTTTGTTTGTTGCAATGCGTTGGAAAGTTCCCATTCACGAGAAAATACGTTATTTTAATCTATCGAATATATTATTTTATTTCCCAATTAACGTAAGAAGACAAAAGGGAGAGTGGGTGCAATGAATCGTCAACAAAGAACAACTCTCACAGTATCCTCAACCTCAAGATTCCACGCGTTTTCCTATAAATATATAAATGTCTTGCGGAATCTGAGAACGAAGAGCAACACAGAGATCAGACACCCAGAAGAAAAAAAAAACAGAACCCGTGCTCTGTCCTGTCGGGAAAAAAAATGGATCGGAGAAAAACCCTAATCCCATATTTGTTCGTCGTTCCATTGGCGATACTTCTCTTTTCTTGTTCCTCAAGCAACGCACAATCCACCTCCTGCAATTCCTACAGATTCTCCAACAACAACGTGTTCGCAAACTGTTCAGCCTTGCCAGCTCTCGGCTCGTTCCTTCACTGGAACTTTGACGAGGCCACAGGCACCGTCTCCATCGCCTTCCGCCGCCCTGGAACCTCCTCGTCGTCATGGATATCTTGGGGACTAAACCCTAACGGCCGACGGATGGTTGGGACGCAGGCAATCGTCGCCTTCACCAACTCGAGCGGTCAGTTCGAAGGATACACTTCTCAGGTCTCGAGTTACAAAACGCGGCTCCAACGGGGCGGTCTCAGTTTCGGGGTTTCTAGGGTTTCGGCGAGCTTGGTGGGAGACGAAGCCATTATCTTCGCCACCCTCGAGCTTCCTGCCGATATGATTCAGACGAACCAGGTTTGGCAAGTGGGTCCCGTCTCCGGCGGAATTCCTCAGGTTCATCCGACGAATGGTGAGAATGGTCGATCGCTTGGTCGGATAAATTTCCGTTCCGGCCAAGCTGCTGCCGGCGGCGGCGGGGGCGGCGGTTTGAGCGACAGGGATAAGAAGAGAAATGTGAGTTCAGTTTCGTCTCCTTTCATCTTTTCAGAATAATTTAAAACTCTAATTGTCCGATTAAAAAAGTAATTAAATTAATCCCACTAATCCATTTTAAATATTCGATTGTTTAATGATATTAAAAGGATCTTAATCAAATATTCTCTTCACTTGGTCAAATACCAACCACAACTTCACCCACCCTACCTCCTGATTTCTCATTCTTTTGACTTTCTACGTTTTGTTTGAAAGTGACCTAAAACCGGCCGGTTCATGCGATGAGTTTCTAGAAATCTATTTCCCATAGATTAATATATTAAACAAGACATTTTATTAGCCCCCTTCGTTACTTAACCTAGAGATTAATATGTCAAAATATTTATTTATTTATTTTAATCAAATTTTACAGATTCACGGAGTGCTGAATGCAGTGAGTTGGGGGATACTAATGCCGATAGGAGCCATAATGGCAAGGTACGTGAAGGTGTTTGCCAACCCAGCATGGTTCTATATCCACGTTGCATGTCAATTCTCGGCTTATGTCGTCGGAGTCGCCGGCTGGGCCACCGGAATTAAGCTCGGCAACGACTCTCCGGGAACCTCTTACGCCGCCCACCGCAACATCGGCATCATCCTCTTCGCCTTCGGCACCCTCCAGGTAACATGAACACGTATAGGTCTAATAATTGTTAAGCAACGGATCCCTAATACATATCACGGGAAATGTGGGTGGACAGGCGTTTGCGGTGCTGCTGAGGCCAAAACCGGATAACAAGTACAGAATGTATTGGAACGTGTACCATCACTCGATAGGGTACTCGACGATAGTACTGAGCATCGTCAACGTCTTCGAGGGCCTCGACATACTGGACCCTGAGGACAAATGGACGCGTGCTTATGTCGGAATCCTCATCTTCCTCGGCGCCTGCGTCGTCATCCTCGAACCCCTCACCTGGTTCATCGTCCTCCGTCGCCGCCGCCGTAGTTCCAGCCACCGCCCCGGCGCGGACAAGCACCACTCCAACGGTCACGTGACCAACGGGGGGTCCCACATGGGGGTTTAGTTTCTGCATAAGATTTTGATTCTTTTTTTTTTTTTTATCTCTGTGTGTATTTTTTTTTCGTCTTTTTGTATATGCGGGTGGGTTGTATGGGTGTTTTTTGTAGGGCCTACGTCCGTATTTTGATTTGATTTGTTGTGTTATATGTAACACATTTTTGGAGTATTATATGAGTTATTTATTTCGTACAGTTCATTTCACATCTATTAAATATTAATTATGCCTTTCTTGATTTTAGAATGTTATCCGATTTAAAATTATTAAGACAGAATTCTTATAAAACTATATTAATCAAAATGGAAAATTGAGATAGCAAAGAAATTCTGATGAGAAAACAAATATTTTTTTAAAATAAGAATTAATATACAATTAAATAAATATGATATTTATAAAATCAAAACAGTTAAGCACAAAAATACCAAAAAAATATAGAAATGTTGAGTGTATATGTATTTGTTAATTATGTTCCAAAAAAAATATATTATTGGAGCTGTACAAATGCGTATTTTTTCTGTGCAATCCACTTATCGGGGGCCTTGCACCACAGAATTTATCCAAATTCTCAAATCCATTTCTTCTTTTCTTCTTCTTCTTCCACAAATTCCGAAGAAACCTGCGAATTCTCTCGCTGGTTCTTCGAAGTTCGAGCTATGGCGAGTTCGCATTCCCTCTTTTCTTCTTCCTCATCATCCTTCCTCTTCAGACCCTCTTCTCTCAGACGCTTTGTCTCCGCCCCGTCTCGCCTCCTCGAGTCGCCGGGACTCCGCCGGGGCCCGCGTGGATTTCCCGCCATCTCCGCCGTGGTCACCGAGCCTGCTCTTTCCGACGTCGGGTCTAAGAACGGCGGCGTGTCGCCGAAGAAGACGGAACCGGAGATTGTCCCGCTTCCCACTAACGAGTCGTCGGAGAAACTGCTCAGAATCCGTCACACGGTAATTATTAGAGCTTTTCGCTTTCTGGGTTAGTCTTAAAGTACGAGGAAGTTATGTCGGATTGAGGAGAATGAAGTGTTGTGATCAATTTCTCATGTTTATGCTGTTGATGAAGTTGGGTTCTGCGGAAATCTGAATTTCGCTGCTACCCAGTGACGAATATTTCGAATTTCTTATCGGATTTTTCTTGTCACTTGAGGGTTGCAGAGAATTAGAAAATATCCGGTGCATTGCTTAGAAAATGGTAGTGATTAATCGAGCTGAATAGCCTGGTTTATGTGAATCCAGTGCGCACATGTGATGGCCATGGCAGTTCAAAAGCTCTTCCCAGATGCTAAAGTGACGATTGGGCCATGGATTGATAACGGCTTCTATTACGATTTCGATATGGAGCCTTTGACTGACAAAGACCTGAAAAGGGTCAAGAAAGAGATGGTGAGTGTTTTGGTGAATCCTTGAAGGGTTTCAGTATTGATCGGCTCCTTGATTTCTCGGTACAGAATTCATTGACTGTATCGTCTGTAGGACAGGATCATTAGTCGGAATCTACCACTTGTACGGGAAGAAGTCTCTAGGGAAGAAGCAGAGAAAAGGATCATGGTAATCAACGAGCCTTACAAGATGGAGATTCTTGAAAGTATCAAGGAAGAACCCATCACCATTTATCACATTGGTACACCCTCACTACCTTCTTGTCTCAAAGTGTTCTTGTCCAAAAGTTTCATGTTTTAGTTTGGTAATATCTTTGTCTTGTCTCCATCTTATTTCCAGTTTGAATGCCATCTTAGGTAATGAATGGTGGGATCTTTGTGCCGGGCCTCACGTCGAGACGACCGGAAAGATCAACAAGAAGGCTGTAGAACTCGAATCTGTTGCAGGTGCATACTGGAGAGGAGATGAAAAGAGGCAAATGCTTCAGAGGATATATGGAACAGCATGGGAGAATGAAGAACAGCTAAAAGCTTATCTTCATTTTAAAGAGGAAGCAAAACGCCGTGATCACAGACGCATTGGTCAAGACCTTGATCTCTTCTCCATACAGGTAAAGCTGGGGAAGAACCCCCGAATTTTGAGCACCTGGGCATTATGTGAGATGAGATAAGGTTATAACGTGAAGAAAACCCAAAAATCAGTTCTTCTTCCGGGAAACATGATCCATACTCTCTGTTTTTGTATTAAACTATAGGATGAAGCTGGTGGAGGATTAGTGTTTTGGCATCCAAAGGGCGCCATAGTTAGGAACATCATCGAAGAATCTTGGAAAAAGATGCATATAAAACGTGGGTATGATCTGATTTACACACCGCATGTAGCTAAAGCCGATCTGTGGAAGGTCAGTGGTCACTTGGATTTCTACAGAGAGAACATGTATGATCAAATGGAGATAGAAGAGGAGCTTTACCAACTCCGACCCATGAATTGTCCTTATCACATCTTGCTCTACCGAAGAAAGCTTCAATCTTATCGGGATTTACCCGTCAGGGTGGCTGAGCTCGGAACAGTTTACAGATACGAGTTGTCGGGAAGCTTGCATGGTCTCTTCCGAGTGAGAGGGTTCACCCAGGTACCTGTTTTTATACTCTCTTGAAGTCTTGTTCAAACTGTCGGATTTATGTTTGCTAGGGATGAGCATGGCTTGGGTACCAGAATTTTCAGGTTATTTGAATCCGAACCCATCTCACACACAAATATCCGAACCCAAACCCGATATTCGGGTTTCTCTAATAACAAAACTCGATCTCCTCTCATGTACCAGCCGGATACCTAAAATTCATTTTTTGTTTTTTCGCTGCCTTAAGATTACTTACAGTTTGCTCCGTCAGGATGATGCACACATATTTTGTCTAGAGGATCAGATTCAAGATGAGATCAGAAGTGTTTTAGATCTTACCGAAGAGATATTATCGCAATTCGGCTTCGACAAATATGAGGTGAACCTATCAACTAGACCAGAAAAATCCGTTGGAAGCGACGATATATGGGAGAAGGCAACCTGTGCGCTTATGAACGCTTTAGACGACAAGGGATGGAGCTACCAAATCGATGAAGGAGGCGGTGCTTTTTACGGCCCAAAGATCGACCTTAAAATCGAGGATGCCCTCGGAAGGAAATGGCAATGCTCGACCATACAGGCAAGTGGGTCTACCCTTGTGGTTTTCGGATCGTATAAAAGGCGAGATATTTTTTTATATATGATGAACGGGAATGATTTTCTTTGTTACACAGGTCGACTTCAACCTTCCTCAGCGTTTCGACGTTACTTATGTTGATTCAAACACGGAAAAGAAGCGTCCGATAATGATCCACCGAGCAGTTCTGGGTTCGTTAGAGAGATTTTTTGGGGTTCTGATAGAACATTACGCCGGGGATTTTCCCATCTGGCTCTCTCCCATTCAAGTTCGGGTTTTGCCCGTCACTGATAACCAGGTATATCACGATCACACCATTGATGAGTTCGCCGTTAAAATTCTTTGGAAAAGATGGAGAGCGTTCCCTGTTCATGAATCTTGAAAACCAGCTCTCAGGAAACAAGAACAATGCCTTTCTGCCATTGATTCCTAAGTATTCCTTGATCATGAATCTTGAAAACCAGCTCTTGGGAAACAAGTTCAATGCCTTTTTTCTTACACCAACATGTGATCTGGATTCTGGTCTGTGATTTCAGTTGGAGTTCTGCAAGGAAATAACCAGAAAGTTAAAAGCTTGCGGCGTTAGAGCAGAGGTCCGCCATGGAGAAAGGCTCCCAAAGCTCATCAGAAACGCAGAGACGCAGAAGATACCGTTAATGGCGGTTGTGGGTCCCAAAGAAGTCGAAACGGAAAGTGTCACCGTTAGATCGAGATTCGGAGGAGAGCTCGGAACCATTTCAGTTGATGAGTTCATCTCCAGAATCAATGTCGCCATTGAAACCAGGAGTGCCCTGTAAACTGTAAGACCGCAGAATCTGTCTGAAAAGAAACTGCACAAAAATTAAATCATACTGTTAAAAATGATTTATATTTAGTATCTATTTATAAGGGTAAATAATAGTTATTTAAATTTAAATATGTTCTTGGATTTAAATACAGAAATTGGGAAGATGGTTAAGGTAATTAACATGAATCTTAGAGGACATGCATTGTCGCATTGAGTAAGTAATAAGTATGGTCACCATCATAAATGCAATTATTTCCCATCATTTTCATTGTAATTAAAATGATCAATCCTATTAATTTATATTATGATCTTTATCAAAAAAATTCTTTATTAAATTATACACTACTTAAGGTTTGAGATTTCTATTTCTCATTTCTTTGAGAGAAAAAAAATAAATTCGATGACGATTGGCAATCCCAAGAAAATCCAAAAATATCGATTTTTTTTAAAGAGGCGAATAATATGTAAGTAAACAAAATTCGTTACTTTTTAAAGTGGATAATTTCAAATTGAAAAAGTTATTTTTTTATAAATATAATTGGACAAGGGAAAGATAGACCAATTTGGGCCCATGAAACAGTTACTCGTTATCTTATATTATATGTATATGACCGATAAAAAAACAAAATTGAGATCTCTTTTGCTATATAATACGGGAGGAAGAATGAATGTTTCAATTTCGATATAGATAATATATATAATCATATTCCAACTGAAAACAATCCAAAAATCAACTAGCTGCGATTTGTTTTGACCATTTTATCCAAACCTAAGAAATAAATATTTTTTAAACAAGTTTTTATAAGAATCTTATCTGAAAAAAGATAAATGTATTTGTTGGATCGCTTTTATGGGTTCCGTTTGCACATTGTTTTCAATTCACATGTCTTCTGTTTTCTTGTGAAAAAAAAGAATCTGGTGAAAGGAAAAAAAAAAGGGAGAGAGAGAGAATCGTATTCCCTCACATGCAAAGGTTTTTTTAAATGTTGTTTATTGAATATATAAAAGAAAATTGCTATATATATATATATATAATTGTTTTTGTTTGAGTATATAAAAATGAATCCGAATAGATCGAAATATACATTGATCATCTTTGTTTCAGTATATAAAAATACTTGAAATAAATCGATTAATATATAGTGTATAAACTAAATTAATAGGATCGGATATAGAGAAAAAAGAGCAAAATATTAATTTTAATGTCAATTAATTTTGATATAAATTGGTGTAAATAATTAACCTTGTTCTTAATGGTAATGAAATACACACACATATATATATATATATATATTCCAAAAGCAAACGCATTCACTATCACACTATGCATCAAAATGGACAAAGCGATGAACTGGAAATTCATCGTTTTCCAAGATATATATACATACACACGCATATATACATATATCACCTAGAGGAAAAGGCGTATTTTTTTAATTATAAATTTTAAAAAAAAATGATAAGGTTTACATTAAAATTGCATATCGCATGCCATCGCTGACCATGAGGTGGTTGACCTCGGAGACCCTGGCGTAGTAGTCACCCGACACCCACAACCCGTCTGTCCCCCTGACACGTGGCACAGCGAAACACGATAAGATCGACAACGGAATCCGCATAAGGCCGTTACCGTTACCGTCTCGTCTTCCGTCGGCGACGATAACCGTGGACGCGCTCTCATCGGCCACGCGCGGGCTCTTCCGGAGGTTTTGGAGGTTCTGTCGGAGTACGGACAACATCTCGAACATCATCCCCTGAATTCCAGTTTTTTTTTTTCTTTTGGCGATGGAATGAAGGAGGTGCGGAATACGTGACTCGCGATGAGGGGGGAGAAGTGTTGGCTCGTTTAAAGATTGTAAGTGGGCGATGTGGGGATGCCCCTTTTAAAGGGTCTGTGTTTTATTTACCATGGAAAATTTATTTATTCAGCGGTAAAAATTAAAAAAATACAATTTTATTCTAATATATAAATAAAGATAAATACAACTATATTTCAGATGGGTTATTTTTTAACGCCCACCCCTAGATAATTTAGGCCGGAAAATTGAGAATGATTTGGGCTGCGGAAATGGTAGTAAATAGGCCCACACAAAACTCAATATATTATATTTCAAACAAATTTATTTATTTTAATAATTTACTACTTTCTTTTTCTTTTAATTAATAATATATTTCTTATATATTTTTTTTGTTGTCACAAAACCCCTCCTTTCTCTCCATGGTTTCTTGCCTCTGTTTCATCTCATTTCTTCTCCCTTTCACATGTCGTCTTCTCGAACTTCGTATTTCTCGTCCGCTTCTTGCTTCGCCGGTCCATCTGACGCGTACCCAGAAGAGTTTTTAGAGAACAAGCAACGGGAAGCGCAAAAATATGGAACCTTTATACGACGACACGAACAGCAGCCACTTCTAATCTCGTCTTCTCCGAGGCTTATGATCGTCTCCTTCTCTCGTATTCTCGCAATAGCATATCGGTTTCCGCCATTGTAGACGCTCAAAGTATCAATGTCATTTTGCTTTCAGTTGTGGGGTTTACCTGTAACGAGAGTTATCGTTCCGTTTTGTTGGTCTGTGAAAGAGACTTGAAAAAGATTTTGACTTGCCTGCACGATTTTCTATTTCAGTTCAGAACTTATGGATCTGGGTTTTTAGGTCTGCTTGTTGTTAAGTGATCCGGAAGTCCTGTTCGATTGAATCGTGTATGGGTGGAAATCATTGTCTTTCGGGGATTGATTTTGGTTTTAACCGTGCTTGAATCCGAGGAGAACATAACAAGGTATGTCTAGTTACGTTGGTGTTCTTGTTTCTGATCAATGGTTGCAGAGTCAGTTCACACAAGTCGAATTACGCACCCTTAAATCCAAGGTGCCTATAGATTGTTTCTTTGTGGTTTTCTTTGATTCATGATCACCATCTTCTGTCGCTGGTATTGAATTGACGTTTGAAACACCTTTCTGTTTTATGCATTGCAGTATATTTCAGCAAGAACTGGGTCGGGCCGTGTCTCCGTGGTGGATTTACCACCCGTTTCTCTCAAAGTTGAAAGCTTTCAGCGGCACCTTTGATGAGGATGAGATCAAATCTATATTGGGGCAATCTTATACCAATCCTGATGAAGAAATTGATTTTGAAGCTTTTCTTCGGGTGAGCTTTTCTGTGGCTTGGTATTCTTTTCGCTCAGGTTTTGATCGATTTGATTTATGATTATCTTTCTTGTACTGATCAGTTTTATGGATGGTTTGACAGGCCTTTCTTAGTGTGCAATCCCGGGGAATTGAGAAATCAGGAGGTTTAAAAGGAGGTTCGTCATTCCTCAAGACAAGCGCTACAACAGTTCACCATGCAATCAATGAATCCGAGAAAGCTTCCTACGTGGCCCATATCAATAGTTTCTTGAGAGATGATCCTTTCTTGAAGAACTATTTCCCTATAGATCCTGCTACTATGCCCTGTTTGTTCTTGCTAGAAATGGTGTTCTTTTGTGGTATATACTTGATGCCTTTTACAGTTACACTATAAGAATTCTTTGTAAATATCGAGTTTATTTCCCCTTTTGCATTGTAATGGTGATTCTTCTCTTCTTCCACACTGCAGTAAGCTTATAAACATAGCGGTTCCTGGGACAATCGATGAACGAGCCATCAATACAAAGAAGGTACTTAACCCGTGGGAAAGAAATGAGAACCATACTCTTTGTCTGAATTCTGCTAAGGCAATTGGCTGCACAGTGGTCAACATTGGAAAACAGGACTTGGCCGAAGGAAGAGTGAGTACTCCCCAGAAAAAAAAAAAAACTAGGTAGCTCTCCGTTGTATTGCTTTCACTCGTTTGATCTTCCAATGTTAATTGTTTCATTTTTTTCATGTTTGTCATTGTAGCCCCATCTCATACTTGGGTTGATATCTCAGATTGTAAAGGTACTGTTCACTTTAAGCCCTCCCCTTTTAGGTGTAGAATGCTTTGTAGTAACATTTGCTAAGTTTGCATCATTTTTGTTGTTCGGACAAAATATCAGATACAATTGTTGGCTGATCTCAATCTGAAGAAAAATCCTCAACTTGTTGAATTGGTGGACGACAGTAAGGTAGATAATATTTGATGATTTTTACGCCTTTTTTTTATGATGTTTTCAGTAGCATGAGACTAATGATTTGGTACTTGCCCTCTTCTTCATGGCTTTCCAGGATGTGGAAGAGCTTATGGGATTAGCTCCTGTAAAGGTTTTGCTAAAATGGATGAACTTTCATCTGAAGAAAGCCGGTTACGAGAAGCAGGTCACAAATTTCTCTTCTGATGTGAAGCCATGAAGGTTAGTTGGTCTTGCTGCACTTCTTCACAAATATTTGTTCAACTTTCGAAGCGTAGTCTTACCGATGATTACCAATTATGATTCTGCTGCTTTTTTTCCCCTCTCTTGTTTTGGAATATGTTGAATATTTTTGTTCATAATCTATAATTCTATGAAGTGGATTCACAAATGCTGATTTCTGAATTCCTCTGTTGTGTTTTTGCAGGATGGAGAGGCATGTGCATATCTTCTTAATGCTCTTGCACATGAACACAGACTACACAGTACACAAGTGACTTTAGAAATCAAAGATCCAGCGGAAAGAGTAAAGAGGTTGCTTGAACAGGCGGAGAAATTGGACTGTAAAAGATACATTTCTCCTAAAGATATAGTGGACGGATCACCAAATCTTAACCTAGCTTTTGTGGCGCAAATATTTCAGCACAGGTCGGTAACAATCTTGACCCATCATTCATTTATATAATTGAAACCCACGAAAAGTTATTTCGGTGGATTTGATCATTTCTAGTTTTGACCAATGCAATGATCTCTGTTGCAGGAATGGATTGTCTGTCGAGAATTCGAAGGTGTCATTTGCTGAAATGATGACGGATGACGCGCAAACTTCACGAGAGGAAAGATGTTTCCATCTCTGGATTAACAGTCTAGGAGTTGCATCTTATGTCAATCGTGTTTTCGAGGATGTTAGGAACGGGTGTGCAAATGAAGTATAGGAAATGCAATCTTGTTTTCCCTCTCACTCGTTAATCTTGATTGGCTCAAGTTCTAATTGATTCCTCTTGTGACGTATAGATGGGTTCTTCTCGAAGTTCTCGACAAGGTTTCACCTGGCTCGGTTTACTGGAAACATGCAAATAAGCCTCCCATAAGAATGCCGTTCAAAAAGGTTGAGAATTGCAATCAAGTTCTAAAGATTGGAAAAGAATTGAACATCTCCCTTGTCAATGTAGCTGGTAATGACTTTGTGCAAGGAAATAAGAAACTCATCCTGGGTGAGTCCTCCTCGAAAGCTTGCCGGTCCACATAGTTCACTTCCATTTAACGGCATTCTCAGCTCTATATAGTTTATATTTCACATCAATGACTTGTTAATATTGTTGTTGTCGGGTTTGTATGATCCTGAAAGTGTGTCTTCTATAGTTCTATTGCAGATTGTTGTTCCATTCTACGAAAACTTGGCCATTGTGTCTCCTTCTGACAATGTTTTTGCAGCATTTCTATGGCAGCTGATGAGATTTACAATGCTCCAGCTTCTGAAGAACTTGAGATTTCACTCTCAAGGTAAAGAAATTACAGACACAGATATTCTAAGTTGGGCTAATAGGAAAGTGAAGAAGGCGGGTCGAACTTCTCAAGCCGAGAGCTTCAAGGTAATAAGAATCAATCGAAGCTCAGACCTTTTTTTATGGTGATTCATCTTCAGACACTAAAAGGATCTGGGGTTTTCACATTTTGCCGATATTAGGACAAGAATCTGTCAGATGGGATCTTCTTTCTGGAGCTTCTTAGTGCAGCAGAGCCAAGAGTAGTTAACTGGAGTCTTGTCACTAAGGGAGAAACAGGTAATCATGCTCGTCTTCCAGTATGTAACATTCCACACAGATACAAATCTAAGTGTCTCTCATATTTTATAAGCTGCTTTTGGTTTCTGTAAATTGCCATAACAGAGGAGGAAAAGAAGTTGAATGCTACTTACATTATCAGTGTTGCCCGGAAGCTCGGGTGCTCGATATTCTTGTTGCCCGAGGATATCGTAGAGGTACAATCTCATGGCTTGAAACAGTTCTCTCGGTTTTTTACATCGACGTCGAAACAGATTAAATCCAACATGAACTTTGATGACAAGCAGGTGAACCAGAAGCCATCATGTACTGGAGCCTCCTGCAACATTCAGACACAGGGTTTACTGTCTGGGAAGCCACCATTGAAGGGGCCGATGCAAGCTCAGCGGCGGATGAAATGTCTAGAACGTCCCTGGACTCTCGGGCTTCAGATACATGAAGCTTGGTATCGAATCTTATATTCTTTGTTATGATTTTATAATGATGGTTAGCGTTACTCTATATGAAAAAGCTAAATGTAAATTCTGAATACATCATAAAACTAATCATAAATCATAAATTATATAAATATTAGACTAAATTATTTTTAAAAAGGTCAATTTTTCTATTAATATACTCATTATTTCGGAAAAAATTAATAAGTGCACGAGCAGGTTCAAATGTTAAATTTAGTACTAGTGGAAAAAATGACGTTTTATTTAATAATATTGTGTAGTTAAACAAGGTATTAACTGAGAAGACAATCCCAAGGCATTCTTGTCGTTGAAAAGTCAAAGTTGCACATCGCCCTTAACTTGTCCCATGATTTATTTCCATTCGTACTACAATAACAAAAGTTATTGTGTTTTAATGACGTACAAATTCGTTGATAATAATAATTATACGAATATGATTAAGTGGGATGACGGCATTAACAATCTCAATGAAACATTTCAAAATTTGTATAAAATGAATATGGTCATGGACGGACCCACTTGATCAATAGCCACAACTTACAGAAATTTTTTTTGTTTTCTTCACAAATTTTATATAATTTTATGTAGAATTATTGTATTACCCCCTAATGAAATTAAGTTTATGCTCATAAATTTATATGCGTATACATTAGTCATCCACTCATAAAATGTTTTGGCTCATGTGAGAAGAAGGGATATAATTACTCTATCCGTTTCAAAATATTTATAATTTTAAGTTATTTTTTATATTTTAAAATATTTGTCATTTTATATTTTCAAGACATTTGTTACAATAGTTTCAAATTTCAATAAATTATTAATAATAACATTGTTTTTATACCGTCATTTTGAAACAGAGGGATTAGTAAATATTGTGATTTTGCGTGCAACGAAATTAATTAAAAAGGATTAAAGAAAAGCACCGAAACTAAGAATGAGAGTGAAGTCAACAAGAAACAGCCCTCGGGCGCAATGCGTGCCGTCTTGTTTTCACATAATCAACAAGGAATTTTTTTATAAAAAAAAATTCATGAACTTCAAAACCGTTATGGAAAAAATAAAATCACTGCAAGTAATTTAGGGATTATTGATGACTTTGTAAACAAAATCAAAATCAATTGAATTAACAAATTTTAACTATATTTAAATGGAGTCTAAATTAAAAATCAACTAAAATATGATTTTTAAACGAGATAAAGTAAATATGAAGTGAATAATTCTGCATATATAATTAACCGAATAAATGGAAGTAATATAGAATAAATGTTTTTAAATGAAAACTTTATATAAGTTTTCCAAAACAGATTAAAACAACAAATTAAAATATAAACAAAACCCTAAAGATACTTTGCTGGACACTGTTTTTCCAAAATGATTAGTTATTTAGACAAATTAAGTGCAAGAACAGTCCATAACTAAATAATTTTATTATTATTATTATTATTATTAAAAGCTGAAAACAAGGAAAGCGACGTGACTGATACGACAATATGTATAGTTTATAGTTTTTTCCCGGAATTAGCACATACTTTGTCCATTGATTTAACGTTGAACCTACCAATTATGTAATTAACAAAAAACATTTGTTATGATTATCTCAGCATTAGTTACAATGACAATACGATTCATATAATTTTTCAAAGCGAAAAAAAAAATACAGTACCTAATATGCCAAAACGGCTCAATCCATAATATTTATTTCATTTTTTCCATATAATAATAATAATAATAATACCTCGGGTAATTAATTTGTTTAGGAATTAAGTATTACAAGTGAAATTTGAAGGCAACGATGAAAAAATAAATTAAGAAGAAGGAAGAGTGCCTGGCTTTCCCATGTACGCCGTCCCCCGGTAATGAATTTTCCCGGTGAATTCTTCGCCGGAAAAAGCTTCTAAGATTCTACTCCGACGATCCAAAAATCTTCACATAACGATGATACGTACAGTCGTGTGTGTATATATATATGTGTGGCTGTGTGCATGTATACGTGCATCTGTGACATGTTTGCTCTTCGTCTCCATCATCATCACCATAATTATTTTTCCTGTTTTCTTTTTTTTTGGGGTATAGAGAGAGAGAGAGAGAGAGAGAGAGAGAGAGAGAGAGAGAGAGGAACTTCACAAAAACCCTTGTTGCTTTGGAGTTTATACATGCATACAAATATATGTATACACGCATATATTTGCGTGTGTAACATAATGTCATGTTTATTTTGTTAAGATATTTAACAAAAACAAAAACATTGACGAAAAACAAGGAAGTTTGGTTTGACGTGTCCGATCGCTAGTTTGAATAATGCACACACACGCACGCATATACATGTAATATGTATGTATATATTATTCAGGTGTATAATTTAGTTGGGGAAATGTCTTGAATAATCCACAAAACAATAATGCATTATAAGTCCCATATTTCCATATATTTTAACCCATAAAACGTTTGTTTTATTTTGTTTTTCTTTGTGCATAAATAATGCCAATTTGATGGAATATTGTAAACTATGCACTACATCAAGTTTGTAATCATTACAACCATTATTTTCTTTACATATTTAATTTTATTACCCATACCCAACTTAATAATATAGTATCTCGGTATCCATTGGAATTTTTTTAGATTTATGGATATCCAAACCCGGCATAAATATAAGAAATTGTTTTAAATAAACCTAAATTTTATATTTCATACAAAAAATATATAAAATAATGATGATATTAAAATTTGAAATATGATGATACAGAATTTTTTAAAATTAAATTAATTTTGATGACGAATGATAACACAATTTACATATGTATTGTCAGAAGAAATCAAGTTATTAGACATTAATCTTTAAATATCTAAAATTTGGGATATTTGTTGATAATACGAAATTTTTTGGATATATAAATCCGATATTTTTTTTAAAACAAAGTTTAAGAACGCAGATCTTAGACAATAGAGGATGGTCCAGATAAGATTTGAATCAAAACATTTATAAATATAAATAATAAAAGCCTCCATTAGACGTTGAGTGACCGACATCTATCGTTCCACCTTGATGAACTTATCCAAGAATCTGAAACCAAACTAAAAACTAAAGTACGACGACACATCAAATCCAAAAGTAAAAAAAATGGCAACTTTGATGCTTTCAAGTTCTTGCAATTCTCCTTATACCGCGTTTTGTTTCACCGCGTTTGCAATAACAGTGATTAGAAGCGTTTGTTTGAAATCGATTCATTGGACGCAACGCACTAATAATGGATCATACGAGCTCGACCCATTTGGTTCGCGGGCTAATTAAGTAGCTCGATCTTTGATGACCCATTTGGTCCGTTCGTATTTTCTTTCAAGGAACAATGTTATTTAGGTCCATTTCGCACTTGCTGAAACTATATGTTAAACAATGTCATATACATATATATATATGTATAGGTCTCGTAAGAGATCAATGGTTGGTCATTCGAATTCAGAAGCCAAAAAAACATATATATATATATATATATATATATATGTTTATGCCTCAATATTAGTTTTGGCGCCTAGCATTTGCATGATCATAACTGATTAAGCGACCATTAAAATTTGGAATGAATATATATATAGATATATATATAGAGAGAGAAACATTTTATGTATTAATTTGCTTTATTTCCTCTTAATTTATCGGTCGATTCTGATTTGATTATATATATATATATATATATATAAAGGATTCTAGAACTGAACTAATTTCCGTTGAAATATTGCAATCTTAGACAGGGGGTCCGAAGTTAATGCAATAAAACACTAAAGCAAGCCATTGATGAGTTTTGGACACAATTATTGTGATGTGAATAGATAACAATTATAATTTCTAGAGAAAAAAAACAACTTTCAAATTTAACCTTTTTAATGAAAAAAAACTTAAATTCTAGTAAATGAGAAATCGACGTAATATCATTAGCTTTATTATATTTATAATATGGAATACATATTCTTTTTAATCACTCAAAATTTAACCATATATCTTTCTATTACCACACAAAAATTCTACCCTAATAATTTCCATGACATTCCATATAATTCATTTTTGGAACTCATATATATATATATATATAACTTGAGAAAAACTAAATTAGAGTGTAAACATCAAAAGGATAATCCACACAAAGCAGAATTCCGATTTTTCGAGTACCGGGAAAAATGAAAAAGTTATTCTTTGCTTAATTTAATATATTTTTTGCACACCGGCCTCTTAAAAAATAATTTAAAGTATTCATGTCACAGAAAAAAGCAAGGGCAATTATGTCATTTTACTGTGGTGGACAATCGTATCCTTTCGCAGTTCAATGGAATAAAATACCAGAGGGGTTGTAACCAAGATCGGCACCGGATTGAATTCTCCGGAGAGATACAGGAGAGAGAGAGCGCAAATCAAATTTATCTTTTTTGAACTTCGGATCCGTCGAAGCTATGGAAGATCATCGGCGTTAGCAGAATCTCCGGCGGGGAGGAGGTGATAGGTTGTTTGGAGGGGTAGCGCGTGAATCTTAGAAGTTCTTTTCATCTTCTTCTCGATCTACCAAGTACCGTCCTCTGTTATGATTCGCGGCAGATCCAACGCTGCTACGGCAGCGAAGCCGGGAGGTTCTTCGCCGGAAAAAGCTTCTAAGATTCTACTCCGACGATCCAAAAATCTTCACATAACGATGATACGTACAGTCGTGTGTGTATATATATATGTGTGGCTGTGTGCATGTATACGTGCATCTGTGACATGTTTGCTCTTCGTCTCCATCATCATCACCATAATTATTTTTCCTGTTTTCTTTTTTCGGCAGCGAAGCCGGTAGATCTGACGCCGGCAACGGTGACCAACGGCTTGCCGGAGATCCGTTTCAGAGGGGTACGGAAGAGACCGTGGGGCCGATTCGCCGCCGAGATTAGGGATCCGTGGAAGAAGGCGCGCGTGTGGCTCGGCACCTTCGACTCCGCCGAGGATGCGGCGCGTGCCTACGATAGAGCGGCGCGTAATCTCCGGGGACCGAAGGCGAAGACCAATTTCCCCTTAGCAGAAACCCCCAACGTTAATTATCACCATCAGCCGTACACGAATTGCGGCGGCGGCGGCAGCGGAGGAGGATCGGAGGAAAATCGGACCCCCGGGATCGGTTCGTCTCCGATGAATCGTCCGGCGTCGAGCAGTATGAGCAGCACGTTGGAGTCGTTCAGTGGTCCTAGGGTTTCGAGACCTAGACCGGTGGTGGTTCATCGTAAGAAACCGGTGCAGCCTCGCGCACCTGATGATTGCCATAGCGACTGCGATTCTTCTTCTTCAGTGGTCGATGATGACGACGACTGCGTCCTTACCTCTTCTTTGCGCAAAGTTTTACCTTTCGATCTCAACCTGCCGCCTCCAATGGAAGGTCACGATTTCTCCGGCGAAGATCTGAAGGTCACCGCTTTGTGCCTCTGATTATTGGGTTCATCGTTCTTAAACCTCTTCCTAGTTTTTTTCCTTTGTTTTTATTATCAGGAAAAAATCGATAAAATTGAAGGAAAAAAAGGGAATCTGCTGGAGTTATACCGTCTTCTGGTCCTATATGGATCGAAGGTGGAAAACTTTACGATTAATCTATGCATTTGCTAGATGCTTACATGTAGAATTAGTATTCTGTTTATGATGATTGCAAGATCTGGGTCTTTTCTTCTACCACCTCTCGTGCTCTCAGCTAAAGATCTTATTTGCAACTTGCAAGAGCTTAAAATGGATCCGATTCTATCCACTGTGTATAACCATGCCCTGTTGTTTAGGACTGGAAATAACACTTGCTGCTTGATGAATCTATCTGTAGAAATCTGTGTTTATTGTTCACTCACACACACGCACTCGTTATGTTTGGCTGCTGTACAAGGTTATCTGGTTTGATATAGGTCAGCGCTAGTGCAGGATTCGTGTGTTCTACTCCTTTTCTTCTTAGATCTTGCAGACCAGGGATGATAGTCCATCCCAAATGTGAACTTATGATGATCCTTGGTAATTGCCTGTGTTCTAAGGTACGAATCTATGATGTTCGCCCAGATTGTAAACCCGGGCGACTGAATTGATGTTCTAGACGAGAACAATGATTCGAAGAATGCGATGAAACTAGCCGTAGAATCAGTGATTTGTTTGACAGTTTTAAGGTTTAGGGTAAGGTGAATGATCTTGGGCCAGCGAGTTTTAAGGTTTAGGGGGTAAGACGAATGATCTTAGATCAGTGAGTATGGTCGGAACAAGATCCGTATTTGGAATTTATGGATGATAGTTGATAAGAATGGAGAGGGGGGCAAGTGGTGGTATGGTGGGTTTTGCAGGCGAACCTACTTTATATATATATATATACACACACATGTATATGTATATGTAATTATGTATTATTGTCAACGGGACTTGCTTTACTTTGGGTTTTAATATTTGGACCGTCGATACTAATCCATTTCATACGTGTCGACTAAGTCTTGTCTTTATGTGTGTGTTGTGTTTGGGTTCTTGTTTGATTTCTTTTTGCTTTTTTTTTTTGGTTTAATGGGTCGATCAAAGTGATTGTGTTTGGAGTGATTAAATGCGATGATTGATGCTATAGTGAAATTAGGGTTTACTTGCGTGCTGCGTTGAGCTTTGTTTTTTTTTTTGTTTTTTTTTTATATTCTATTTGGATCTAAATAATTTTTATTTGAAAAATATATCCAATAGGTTTGAATATGCTTACATGAATATTTATGCTAAAAAATATAAAAAAATACATACGATTATTTTTGTATTTACAGAAAGTTTACATTAGAAAAAGATTGGATGCAACAAATGCAAAACATTGGATTTTGTGACAAAATATATGAAGATGTGTGGAGAACTTTGACTTAATCTTTTCTTCCTCTTTTGACCGAAAGATTTCTCTTCACTTGTCGGTTGCTTTTCCATGACTCGCCTGAGCCTGATTTCACTGTTCACCCTTCTTTTCACTGTTTATGTTTATATATATATTTTTTTAAAAATTTACATTAATCAGATTATTTGGATTTTTTGTTCAGTTTGTGAATGAATGTTATAGTGGCCACATGGAAAATAATTGCTGAATCAAATGCTTTACATTTTACTGGTTAAAACTAATCCCATGCATTGGTGCAATCAGCTGTAAACGTAATCCAATGTAGAAAAAGAGAGTGAATTTGTAAAGTTTCGTAGAATCTGCACTTCTTTTTCATCAAAGATCCTGAATTTTCAGATTCTGATAGCTCATGTAGTATGCCGGATTAATGATAAATTAATATCTTCATATATTTCAAATTAAATTGAGAATATATAAATTAATGAAAACTATAATTTTTTAGATGTTTGTATAAAAATTAAAATTTATTTGAATTTACACAACTACATTTTTTAAAATTAAGAAATCTTACACGTTTCATTTATAATCTTCACGTGTGTAATTTGTAGAATAATGATATCTAATACAAAAAAGTATTCAAAAAATATGTGGCAAGAAAAAATAAAGAAGGAGAAAATTCAGAGCTATTTAGAATGGGCTTATTGGGCCTTCGTTGAGCCCACAGAAAAAACACCGCGGTCTCTTCCCCTGCGCCGGTGACGAGCTGTACTCGACGGTCATGAAGACCTGAACCAAAATCGGAGTTTTGGGGTTCTGTGGTTTCTCGAGAGATGTTTCAGATTGTGAAAAACAGGTTCAGTGCGTCTTTCTCAACACTGACAAAGAGATACTTCTCGATTCGTGGTAAAACGGTGATCGATGCGGCGTCGAAGGATGGGGAGCTTAGGGTTTTCATTGTCTCCGGCGAAGTCTCCGGCGACACCATCGGCTCACGTCTCATGGGCTCCCTCCGAAAACTCTCTCCTTTGCCCGTTCGTTTCCATGGTGTTGGAGGGTAAGCACGTGGGTTTCTCTCTTTTCGATCATTTTGTGAGATTGCTCGCTGAAATGCTGAGTTTCTACTTGGGGTTCTGTTTACATTTTCCGAATCCGAGACGAGAAACGGAGAACTTGCTTGAAAATGTTGTGTTTTGCTTCTAAAAAGATTGGTGCTTAATTTAGGTCCTTGATGTGCAAGCAAGGGTTGAAGTCATTGTTTCCCATGGAGGATATTGCAGTAATGGGGATATGGGAGCTGTTACCGCATCTGTTTAAGTTCCATGTGAGTATTATAATACTGATGAAGTGATGCTTTGAATGGTCTTATATCAGATCCATTATCTATTGTCCTGGTTTTGGAATTGCAGGTTAAGTTGAAGGAAACTATAGAGGCAGTGACTAAATTCAAGCCACATGTTGTTGTGACTGTTGATTCCAAGGGATTCTCCTTCCGGCTTCTGAAGGAGATACGAGGTAAAGTGACCATTTTGTTCTGGTCTTGGTGGTGTATCTATATTGGAAATGAGTGGGGTAACATATACATTTGAGATTTTCGAAGAGGGTTTCTGAATAGATTGTATGTGAAACCCCAAGGATTTAACGAGCTGTGCGGATAGGACTGATACCACAATGGTATGAGTGACGTAGTCGGTGTTTGGTATTCGTTACTATCACATCATGTTCACTAGGAAACCCTGAACGTACACTTGGCTCTGATATAATAGGAACTCAGCCTTTTTAATAGGCTACACAACTGAAGATTTGATAAAGCAAGAATCCTATAATTTTAGCTTCTAATTCCAAAAGTTCCTGAAGGCATTTCTATTATATGATGTAGGACAATGGGGCAATGCTTTTTGGCTTTGCAGCTAGATACAATCAGTGGGGCTTGGAGAATTCCCCAATACATTTTCATTACGTGGCACCGTCGTTCTGGGCATGGAGAGGGGGTGAATCAAGACTTGGAGGTCTATCCCAGTTTGTTGATCATATTTTCTGCATTCTCCCAAACGAGGAAGCGGTTTGTAGGGCAAATGGGCTGGAAGCTACCTTTGTCGGGCATCCAATACTTGAGGACGCAATTGAGTTCAACTCCGTATGTATTTTCCGTGTTCTTGAATAACCAATTTTAGCTCCTCGACGTTGTAGTTTTCCATACTTGTTTTGAATTCCTCGGTACAAGTGATACATTTTCTTCGACAGGCTGGGAAATGCATGCCTTACAAATGGAAGATCCAAGGCAATCCTAAGGAGTTCTTTGGAAAATACTCTCTACCTTCTGGTAATGCAAAATCTTTCTGATTGTTTTAACCTTTCGTAGGATGGACATGTCGATTTGACCCCTTCCTGTATTTCGATGATGACGATGCTTTGCAAAACTTTACATTCAAGACTCCACGGTCATTTCCGTGCTACCCGGGAGCAGATTGCAGGAAGTTGAGAGAATGCTTCCCATATTCGCAAAAGCAATGGAACTACTTAAAGGCTCCTCCTTTCCTAAACTAGTTACTCTTATCCATGTCGCATCAAATAGCCACGTGGAGCGTTACATCGGAGAATTCCTCCGTGATTGGCCTGTTCCAGTGATCCTTGTTCCCGGTGGATCCACCAAACTTAAATACGATGCCTTTAGCGTAAGTTTTCGATCTGAAACTCCCGTTTATTTTATTTCTTTCTTTCTATCTTGCTCGCTCTCCCTCTCTAATTGTTTGAGTTCCATCCACGCAGGTGAGTCAGGCTGCACTATGTACTTCAGGGACTGTTGCTGTTGAGTTACAGCTCGCACGTTTGCCTTGCCTCGTGGCTTATAGAGCTCATTTCCTCACAGAAATGTTCATACGCTACAAAGCCAAGATACCATACATCTCTCTCCCAAACATTCTCCTGGGCTCACCCATCATCCCAGAAGCTCTCTTTCAGTCCTGCAACCCTTTGAATCTCTCTGCAATACTAGGGTAATGTTCTCTGCTTTGATTCATATATTGCATACCCCATAACGATCTTTGTTTAGAGGATACTGGGTCTGGGTAGAAAAAACCCGAATTTTTGGAATTCGGGTACTCATGTGTTACATGAGAAGAGATCGGATTTTGTCATTAGGGAAACTTGAAAATCGGGTTTTGGTTCGGGTATCCGACTGTTGCATGAGATGGGGTCGGGTTTTGTTTTTAGGGAAACCCGGAAATTGGGGTTGAGTTCGGGTATTTGTGTGGGTAACGGGTAGTGATCGCGTGTACTCAAGTGAATAGTAAATTGACTTTTTTACCCCTAGGTTTTAGAGGAATTACATAAAGAGCTTGGGTTTTGAATTAAGTTTCACTGAAGTTTCGGGTTTGGATTTGGGTTCGGGTAGCCCGAAAATTTTGCATTTTCGGCCCAAACTATACGAGATACATGTTTTGAAAATAATTGAAGTTTTGTATTTTAATCTCGGATTCGGATACATGTGGATACTCGAGATTTTTTTTTTTTGCGGATATCTAACCTTTGGATATCCAACCAAAAGAGATCCGAGAACAGATAAATATCTCGGATACCCGGCCTATCCTCGCCTTTAGAGTATAGTACTGAAACTATATCGACAAAGAACGAGCGTGACCCGAGGAATGGTGTGAATGTTGTAGGAAACTGATTTCGGATGAGGAGATGAGAGAAGATCAAGCTGCTGCTGCTGAAAAGTTTGCGAGTCTCTTGCACCCTTCACAAAGAGACATTCACAACTTCCTCCCTCGAACTGGTTTGGGGTCTCAACATTACACACCAAGCTTTTTAGCAGCTTCAACCATACTTTGTTTTGCCAAACCTTGATTATCCTTTTTTCTTTTCAATAATTTTGATGAATTTTTAGTCTATAGTTTTAGTTTATGCAAATATTTTTGTGTTGGTTAAGAAAGATTCTGCATCCCTCTTCTTGAAATTGTTGGAAAGTTGTGGTCTTATTAGGGAGTTGATTTAACGCCGGTTCAAATACTTGGAACCCCAATTTCTATCACCAGGTCCAGTATTCCGTACGAAACCGAAATTGAGGTTTATATTGTTGAAAAAATAAACAAGAAAATTAATCGAATATCCAAAATTTGGGCAATTGGCAACATATTGGCATATCGGTAGTTATGGCTGAAATCGAGGGTATTTTCGTAAAACCCACAATATTTAATATCATAATACCGTAATACATTTTGTGATCTGGGGTCAATTTCAGCAGCCGCTGCCTACACGTAACGTTCATCCGATTCCGGGAAGGAGAGAGAGATTTGGGAATCTGTCGCTTCGAAGCTTGTCGCGACTTTCCCTAAATCTGTAGAACATCACGTTGATCTCTCCACGACGGTAAGGTTCGCCCTCTGTTTGATTCTATCTTCTTCTCTTTTTCTTTTTTTTTTATGTTTGATTCTCGATTCATCTGTCGCGGATTAGGGTTCGTAGGGTTGGGGGAGGTGGGGATTTGATCGATGGTTGACCTTCGTTTTCTAATTGTTTTATCCAGAAGCTGTTTGTCCTGGTCGGATTTCCGTTGGTCGACTGTGTTCTATCCATTTTCGTGAATCAAGGCGAGTACTTTTCAGACTCTATCACGTAGAAGGTGATTGATTGCTTGAACGTTTTTTCTTTTGAAATTTTACTAACAGTATACTGCGAATTTTGTTTAGCCTCGTTTTCTGGATCCCTCGATGTGAGTATTTTGGTTTCTACATCAAAAACAGTGTTTCGATTCACAAGGAATTCGTGAGTGCGGTAGTCGATTCTTAGCTGAGTGAATTACGTTGAAGTTTGTATATGGAATTTGGGTTGGATGTGGAATCAGTGCTTAGGTCGCAGAGAGCAATTTAAATGTTAACTCTGCTCGAGCTGACACATGACTAAGCAGTTTGAAGGTTGTCTAAAACTTTTAGCCATTGATTTTTGCTCTCTGTCCTAATGTCCTTGCTTTGTCCTGGGGCTGAAAGGTTTTTATGCAGATGATATGATCCAAACAATGTTTAGAGCAAAATTTACTGTTGCAAGGTCTTTCCTTGATTTTCTTTTTCTTTTGATTCCTTTATTTGTTTTCGGGGCTGGAAGTTTGTCTTGCCATGGTTTGTGCGCTTAGGCTAGATATTAAGTTGCTTTTTATGTCTAAAGCCATGTTGTGACCAGCCGTATATTTCTAGAGTTAGATCGTTTAGTTGTCGAAATACAAGTTCTTTATATTTCTCAAGGATCTTATGTGAATATCAAAACTCTAATAACTGGAAGTGGGCTTTGTAAGATAGTAAAATATTGGTAAAGGAATCAAATAGAAACTTGTAATGTTATAATGAGCAAATCAGCAGGCAATCTAGGCAAAAAGTTCATAATATGTCTGAAGACCCAAGAAGAGCATAGCCATAGCAGAATCCAGTACTTGATAGACCTGCTTAATTATTTCGGTTTGCAAGTTTGTGATCAAAATCATGGACTGAAAATTTGGTTAATGTTTGATCAATTCTCAACAGAAACCATGCCGAAGAACAAGGGAAAGGGAGGAAAGAACAGGAAGAGAGGAAAGAACGAAGCGGACGATGAGAAGCGTGAGCTGGTGTTCAAGGAGGACGGGCAGGAATATGCACAAGTTCTTCGCATGCTCGGTAATGGAAGATGTGAAGCCATGTGCATAGATGGTGTAAAACGTCTATGCCATATCCGTGGCAAGATGCACAAGAAGGTTTGGATTGCAGCCGGTGACATCATCCTTGTCGGGCTGAGGGACTACCAGGATGACAAAGCTGACGTCATCCTCAAGTACATGTCCGATGAGGCTAGGCTCCTCAAGGCATATGGTGAGCTTCCGGAGAATACCCGTCTCAACGAAGGAATCGTTGGGGATCTCGATGACGATGAAGATGCCGCAGCTGATGACTACATCGAGTTCGAGGACGAAGATATCGACAAGATCTAAGACTAGACCGGTTAACAGTTTCCGGGTTGTATTTTTCCAGTCCGAGACTCGTCATTTGCGCCGTAACATCGAGTGTTAAGATGCTGCACGCATTATGCATTTCGGGATTTCATCCGATTTCGTATCTAATGTAGTGGCACTGGCTCTTGTTGCTTCATTTCCTTGTCCTCATGGGCATTCTTTGCAGATCTGAGATCAAAGGGAGAATGTCTGCTAAATAATTTTAAAAATATTACAAAAAAATAATAACACTTTAGTTTAATATGTTTCTGGATAAATTATCCTATCATATATATATAATTTTTTTTTTCCAAAAAGATGCGGTGAATATCCACCAGACAGATGCAGAAAAAAAAAATCCAAGGGACTGGTGGGAACTCTCCATTAATGAGAGTTTTTAAGTTTTTTGTACGGATCCATCAACGCCCAACGGTACCGGACCCATGCATGCATGTATCAGTATGACGTCTGCGTTCTTATCATCTTACCGCGTATTATTTTCATAGGCTAAAATAACCCATTTTAGTTCCAGAACCAAAATCAAATAATATAAACCGATACTTTACTCGAATTTGATTTAAAAAATTTAATTACTTTTAAAAATAATTTCATCAATAATGCGCTAAATATAAAAATAATCGAAAAACAGAAGTGAGTCATCTTTAAAAGATATATATTTAATAAAGAAAATGAATTCAAACCGAATTGGAATAGAAACCAAATCGAATTCAATCCAACGCAAAAAAAAAAATGGAATAAGTATAATATTTTAAAATCGGAAAATTAATTTTAAAATAAGTGACATGCATAACCTGAAATAAATGAAATTCGATATAGCTAACCTAATACGCCTAACTTTATTTTATTAGAGAAAAAACTTGCAATAATATTATTTTATTGACTTTTCTCATTTAGTAATTAAATCGTCTTCGCCTGCACATGCTATTATAAATAGGGGGCGTGGGAAGGGACAATTTCTTCATCACCTTCCTTCTTCTTTCTTCTTATTGGGCAAAAAAAAAATGGCTTCCAAGTCTTTGGTTCTATTGGGTCTCTTTGTTGTTCTTCTGGTTGCCTCGGAGGTCGCAGCTAGAGATCTTGCTGAAACCTCCACCCACAAGAACAATGGTATATATATCGTATATATGTGTGTGTATATATTCCACAAGACACTAGCTAGTTCAATTGTTTTTTTATGGTTGTAGAACACATGATATATGTAAATTTTATTACTAATTTATGATGGTATGCAAAAAAATGTTGTAATGGTAATGCCATGAACTACAAAAGTTGACGAGTGTTAAAACTATGGCTATCTAATGAGCAGAAGTCGCTGAGGAAACACATCACCCGGACCAGTACGGAGGACGATATGGCGGCGGCGGTCACTACGGCGGAGGAGGTGGTCACTACGGCGGCGGAGGCGGTCACTACGGCGGCGGAGGTGGTCACTACGGAGGTGGAGGCGGCCACCGCGGGGGAGGAGGAGGAGGTGGTTGCCGCTACGGCTGCTGCTACAGAGGATACTATGGCTGCTCAAGGTGCTGCTCTTACGCCGGCGAGGCTGTCCAAACTCAGCCGGAGAACGAGCCTGGTCACTAAAACCTATACATACATATATATATATGTAGTATGCGAGTGTGTATGCATGCATGTACTTACACACGTGTGTGTACGCATGGGAAAACGTCATGGGGCTTTCATAATGAAGTACGTACGTACGTAAAGTGTATGCACACCATGACTTAATTAAATAAAACGACGACGAAGTTTCTGTATTTTTCGTGTATTAATCTAAAATCTAAACAAATATCTTTTAATATTAATTACTATTAGAAAATCAATGACATTGGACATATTGCGATTTCAGTTTTATTGTTTCATTTGATAAAAGCGTCTCAAACGTTGTACGATTAAGTCGTATCATAAAGTAGTTTCTTGCCCTATATATTACCAAAGACCTAACTATTATTTTCATGTTTATATTCACATCTAGGGTAAATTGCCAGGTAAAGTACACATGGAATTATAGATAGAGATGGTTCAATGTCGATTTGGATTGGGAATCTACAAGACAAATTGCAAATTGTATAGCCATCCTTAGCATTTAATAAGTTTATAAGCATTTTATGTCATAATACAAACTAGTATAGGTAGGACACATTGATACAATCTGGATAACTCTTATATATATATATATATATCCCTAGCTACCTTTGAGTTCATTTTCTCCAACTCCATATTTAATGTAATTAAACCTATTAATTTCTAATTACTATTTTTAATCAAAACGTTAAAAATCTATAATTTTATCAGTCTATCAATTTTCAATCCCAAATTAAACTATATTTATGATATTAATTTACTATTTAGTTCTCCTTCCGAAGATGCCATTTTTCTCACTCATGCATGGAAATAAAGATGTATGCTATGCGATTCCAAATTTCCAACTCGTTCAAATTACACGTATGAGTAGTAAGTTGTTGTACCACAAGTTGTTTTTTGAAGAAAAGACAATTTGGTACCCTACTTTTATAGCCTAACTAGGTAATAACCCGCGCGAATCCCTGTTTACACATAAATCTTAGAAATTAATTCTTACAGATTTGCCACGTGTCATCCCCAGGTGATTCTACTGTACTTTTATATATATAGATATATTCAATATTTTGTTGTCAATTTAGTTATCTAAATTTATGGTGTCATACTAATTAAAATTAAAAAAATGTTAATAACCGACCACAGAAGAATTTATATGGTTTTAATCTAAATTGTTTATTTTCTCTTTTTTTTTGGTTATTTTTATGTAATTTCTAGGTGCACTGATGTATATGTGCATATATATGTGTATATATATATATATTAAGATAAGTCATAATAACATTTGAACTATATTTTAACTATGTATGTTTTATAATAAGTCATGCTAACATTTTAATTGGCTGAGAATTGGAAAATTTTGAACATCAAAATATATTAAAATTCAATTCTAAACATTAATTGTAGGAACAAAAAATAATACACATACAAAAGTCATAGATATGATTTCACTAGAACTGCCTAGAACTCATTGAATGGTAGATGTGGCCAATACATGGCCCGGTGCAGGGCAATGTCGCAGGGTTTGTAGATTTGAATCTGATCAAAATCTGTGATGAAATATTGTTTACTTTCACATAGAAAACGACATATTATACATACATATATATATATACATATATTACCCTTTTAGCGTCCAAGATAATATAAGATTGATTCGAACTTTTCATCAAAAAAAAAAAAAAGATTGATTCGAACTCGAATTGATCCGAACTTAATCTTAGTTCAGTTTTGAATTTTTCTAGTCTCAAATTATATCAAATTAAAAAAAAATAGCATATGTTATTTTTTTCCTTACATAAAAATAGTAAAATGACTATTTTACTTGAACAAGTAAATAAAATAATAAAACGATATTAAAATCACACACACACATATATAGGGTAAAATAACCAATAAATGGCCACCATACGGAAATAAAAAGATCTAAAAGGCTAGTGGGAACACCAATTAATGAGAGTTTAAAATTTTGTGCAGATCAATCCAACACCCAACCGTACATGGGGCCATGCATGTGTGACTTCTTCTACGTTCTTATCCTCTTACCCCATTTGTTTTCATATATAGGGCTAAATCATTTTAATTTCATATAACCACAGATTTAAAAAAAATATATATTATTACATTACTTCTTTGACTTTTCTCAGTTGGCAAGTATTAATTCATCTTCGTAACCCCTCACTCGATACTATAAATAGAAGTGTGGGAAGAACATTTCTCTTCATCCGATCTCCTTCTCTCTGCTTGGTTTTAGCATACGAAAACACAAAGCAGTGTCTTAGCAAAACAAGAAATGGCTTCCAAAGCTTTGCTTCTCTTATGTCTCTTTGCTGTTCTTCTCGTTGTCTCCGAGGTCACAGCAAGAGATCTCGCTGAAACCTCGACCGAAAAGAAGAATGGTAAGTTTTCCATATATATATATATATATATATCACGTTAAGTTCATAAAATTTCGTAAAGTATTGGTTTGGGCGAGAATCATTTGGCTTTACAGAAGCTGACGAGATGTTTTTTTAATCATTCTCTGTATATGAGCAGACGCCGCGGAAGAGGCACAACACCCTGACCAGTACGGAGGAGGATATGGTCCCGGCTACGGCGGACGCGGTGGATACGGCCGTGGAGGGTATGGCGGACGCGGAGGGTACGGTGGTGGCGGTTATGGCGGACGCGGCGGATACGGCGGACGCGGTGGATACGGCGGAGGAGGTGGCTGCCGGTACGGATGCTGCTACAGAGGATACTACGGTTGCTCGAGGTGCTGCTCTTACGCCGGCGAGGCTGTTCAGACTGAGCCGGAGAACGAGCCTGGAAACTAAACCTATATATATATAGTGTGTATGTATATATATGTGCATGCATTTACGTAAACTAGGCCGTGCATGGTTGTGGGATCTATATATATACACTCTAAAGTGTACGTATGGGGGGAAAACCTGCATGGGGGCCGGCTACCACAATAATGAAGTACGTACGTCCATGCATAGACTAAATAAAAGGTTGTGGAAGTTTCTGTTTTTATTTCATGTTGGTCTGTAACCGTTGGAGTTGTAATCCTTGTGGTCTGCGTAATATAGTGTTTTGCTTAAATTTAAATATCACGAAATTTCCTTCTATCTTTTTTATTCACATTAACTAATGGCGTTTTAAAGAGGTTAATTAATTACCACTAAAAATTAATTATATATCATTTTCCACACTTCTTTAACGAGCCTTTGCATCTTTGTTAATATGTTGTTCAATAATTTGTTTGTCAATATATAAATTGGGAATCAAGCTTCATGATTTTTAATATATACTAGATATTCCTTCCTCAAATGGACATTTCTATACAAAAAAAAAAAAAATCAAAATTGAACATAACGCACCAATTGAAATATAACCCAATATTAAATCTGAATGAGTAAATTAATTTTTCTCAAAACGGATAAAATTTGAATTGAAAAATAACCAGCTAGAATTAAACGTAGAGTATGTCCAACCCTAATGTGTACGTTGTATTGAAAGCTATTAGAAAAGAGTTTGCTATTTATAAAACAAAGTACAAACATAAAATATTTACCATAATTAATCTTAATAAGTTATTAGGATATTACACCGATCATGGATTGCATATCATAAGATTTGACAAAAACCCTCGGTCCCAATAGTAGTAGGGGGAGTCAATATAGTGGTGCGATATATATGTATGTGACTTGAGTGTCCCAAATACAGACAACATATTATGTCATTCAAAGAAAGAGGGTCCCTATATCATTATATATATATCACCAAAACCGGTTTGATCAGTTCCGGTTGAGTTCGGTTCTTTTCGATTTCAACTTTTTTTTTTTTAATTTAAAAATGTTGAGTTCCGTTTTTTTTTATAAAAAACTTGTGTATATTTAGTTTTAGTTTGTATGTTATTTTTTTGTCAATTTGAATTGAATTTTCTTCTACTTAAAAAACTAAAATTTAATATAATTTTCGTTTGTATTCGATTTTTTTATTATATTATATTTAATTCGAATTCAGTTTATATTTAATTAATTTGGGTTAAATAAAACGGTATCCAATTAATTTTAGATCTCGATTTGGAAATTTCTACAAGTTATTCGAATTTTTATACCCAAACCGAATTCTTCATACCCTAAATGAAAAAATTATGGTTAGTTACTGAAATTCATTTAATATATATATATATATATAACAAAGATACTTTTGTCAAACTTGAACTGAATGAGATGTAACCGCTTGACTCCAAATTAGAACTCTGCATGTAAGTGATGTAATCGTTCGATTCCAAATTAGAACTGTGCATGTAACATCATTTTAGAAGAAACAGACAAATATATACATACATATATATATATATATATATTTTTATAAGAGAGGAAATTTGTTCCCACGTCCTTCAGAAACAATTACCATGCACATGCAGAATATGATCATAACATTTTTTTGTTGGGTCATGGGTTTAAGAATGGAGAAGACAGGAAACATATAAAATAACAAAAACTGCAGCAAATCCGAAGCAAATACTCTCAGACACGACGAGCTTCTGAATCTGACAAAGATCGGAACATGGGTGTTCATCGTTTCAGGATCTTTATTTACACAGACTTTTTTTTCTTTGCGTAGAACTTGGAAAAAAAAACCAGGGTGAAGAAGAACAATGGCTGGCTTTGGCTTTGATATCTTCATGTCTGGGGTTTCAGACATTCAAGCCAAGCTTCTGAGCAGCAAGAGCTTCAGCCTCAAGCGTTGGCTCCCACAGGATCGTCGTCTCGGCCAAGAGTGACGTCACAACGTACGGGTCCATGTTCGAAGCTGGACGCCGATCCTCCAAGTAACCTAATCCACACGCGGAAATCATCGTTACCCTCGAGTTCGAATTCATAGTTCGGTGAATCACTGGTTCAGAAATTATAGTTCGAAGGGGTCACTGGCTCGAGCCTTTCGAACCATTCTTTCAGGTCAGGGATTAGACGAGCCAGATTCTGTTGTCGGGAACTCAAAGTCGGTACCTTTTCCATTCTTCTCGGTGTCACGGCCCACACGGATCGAGCATCCACGGTTTGCCACTCCCTGCAAGTTAATGTCCGAATGCTGAGCAGAGATAATATGGGAGAAAAGTTGAAAATTTCGGATATTATGTGATCATACCCATGAGAATGTATCGATACTCGCAGTCTCGTGCTTTCCCGTCAACCTTCTCTCGTTCCCTTCCCCATAAGCGCTGATGTGTTCCTTGTGACGGAGCGAGAGATTCAGGATCGCCTTCTTGATCACTTCATACCCTCCGTCGTCTCTCATGCTCTTCGTACTGTGAATAAAAAACCGTTATATCGATCCGATCCGTTCTACGTTTTGGACAGTACTGAAGAGATGTTGTGACTCGTGGAATGTGTTACCTGTAATTGGTGTGGCATCCAGCACCGTTCCAGTCGCCCTATCGTCGTACATAGAAGATGAACCTTTGGGGTCAGGTCCATTGTCAAATGACACAAGAGAAGTTACATTGTCTTTTTTCCACGAAAAAAAAGTATAACGGTAATCACCTCTATCGGCTTGGGATCAAGCGTGAGGACGACTCCAGCTTGTTCCGTGATTCTCTGCAAAAGTTATAACCGAAAATTAAACACGAGGGGCCGAGAAAGTTCAACCTGCTCCAACTGATTCTCAAGAAGTAGTAACAAGTATAAGAAAACCCGTCTGATTAACAAAGCCCTTAAGAAACCGAGACAAACTAGGAAGAAACCCTTCTTCAGATCTGACTCGAGTTTCTAATCTCGATCGAGATGAGGCAGTTCCCGAGATAAATTTATTCTCGGGATCGAATATAAACAATGGTTGATATATTTGCACAAAAAGGACGACGTTGATTACCTCGAGAAGGTATCGGGCACACCAGATATGATCACCTGCTTCAATGCCAACACTCGGGCCAACTTGGAATTCCCACTGCAAGAACAGAGTATAATATCAAACTGATGATATAAACTAACGAAAACTATACGCTGGAAGATTCGATAAATAATGAACTTATACCTCGAAACCCGAAAGGAGAAAAAGGCAATGTAGAAAAAGATTCAGACCTGTCCTGGCATAACTTCCCCGTTGGTACCGCTAATGTTAATTCCAGCATATAAGCAAGCCTTGTAATGAGCATCCGAAATGTCACGGCCCCAAGACTTGTCGGCTCCAACTCCGCAGTAGTAAGGACCCTAACAAGAAGCGAAGATACCGGTAAATCTCTTACTATATATACACTGATGCAACATCATTAGATATAGTTATCACCTGTGGACCGGGATAAGCTCCAACAGGCCAGCCCAAAGGCCACTTCACGTTCTGTTGGAGTAAGGTGTATTCTTGTTCAATACCGAACCTAATAAACAAAGGCGAATATCCACAAATTTAGTCGCAAAATCTATCCAGAAAGGGTCAAGCTAACACGTTATTGCAGGATCAGGGGTAAGGACAGACCATGGAATGTCATCTACGACTTTCTTGTCACTGAAAATCTCAGCTGCTCGGGCACGTTTGTTCGTGGGAATGGGCTCACCGGCTGGCGTATAACAATCACAGATAACCTTCACAACAAAATTCTTACAGAGCTCAATAAACAAACCCCCAAACAAACTTGGGATTAAGACGATGTTGTTGTTGTTGTTCAATAAACAAACATAACTACTAACTGAAGTTAACAACACTGTACCAAGATGTTGTTGCCTCCTCGGAAAGGATCTCTGAAAATAGCTTGTGGACTGCATAAAACAATGGAGTTGCAGACAAGGTAAATATATAGAAAGAGAGTAAAAGAAAAACAAAGTGATAAAGTCTTCAGACAAAAAATCTTACTAAAGAATGACTTCACTGTCTTCACCAGGCGCTTGTCCAGTACTTGAACCATCATAGTTCCACTTGGGAAGCTCGGAAGGATGTTCAACCGGCTTTTCGATTGTCTGAAATTTTCAGAAGAAAATGGATACCAAAAGAAAGAAAGAAAGAAAGAAATCAGAACAATGCATAACATGAAATGCAAGATCCATGCATAAAATCTAGCATACACCACTCTATCTTACCCTTGACTTGCTTCGCAGGTCGATTCCAGATCCTCCAATCCTATCCAAGAAAGATCAAAGTCATGAACATAAGCTAAGTACCGATAACTTGTAAAACGTAACATAACCAAAGTAATCAACAAGAAGGATGTAACAGTTGAGTAAACGGCAATCAGACAAACCAAAGGAGGGGCATACCAAATGTACTCGGCGATGATCTTGTCAGTGTAAGGTTTGGTGTCTAAGTTGAGAAGTCCCTCGAGCCTATTGACAGTGCTGTCGTCGGATTGGAGGGCCAAAACCCTAAACTTGTTAGAACAGTTCAGTTTCCCGCTCTGCTTGTTCTGCCTCAGCACTACAGAGCTCCATAGCTTCGACGAAGCTGCAGGGCTGGAGATGACCGAGTGCTTCGGCACACCCATCTGGCATTTTGGAGAAGGTGCCAAGATCTGTGCCATCTTTGCTTCAAGCCCTGATGAAAAATAGCATCAAATCAATTACAAAAAAATGGATTTTTTATGCAGAGATCCCACCTTTTTTAATCACAAGATCAGAAATTAGCCTTTTTTTTAACCATAATTTGTTCAGAATCAGCCTTTTAGGACCCAGATTCTTGGCAGACTTTAGTCTGATTGTCTAAAAAGGATTAAACTAAACTGATTCCATTTCTGAAAAGGCGATTAGAAACTATTCAAATAAAATTAAATTATGGGCAAAAGCCAAAGAGATCCATCCACACGAAACATATAAAATAATCAAAAAGTGATCCATGAGGGTCAATTCAGCAAGGAACGGGAGTAGATTATGCATTGTTGGTGGACCCGAGATCAACTGGAATCGAGCTTTCCGGGATTACAAGTGAATTTGACTTTAAAGTTACAATCTTTAACGTTTCTTTCCCT